CCGTGCAGGATCCAGTTGTCCGGGATGATGAGCCCCCACCGCACGCTCTGGAACACGCAGCCGGTGAAGAAGAGAAAGGAGGCCAGCAGGGCGAGCTTGGCGAGCGGCCGCCGGTTGAGCGCGAGCGGGACGAGCAGGGCGGCCGCGAAGAGGGCGTTGATGACGAGCATCCCGTAGAGGTTGCCGTTGTCGTACAGGTCTAGGAAGAGCGCGCTCATGGCGCTGTCGCAGGAGGAGCACGACGGGCCCCGGCCGGAGCCGCCGGAGCCGCTGCCGGAGCCAAAGCTGCCGCCGCGTCGCGGGGCCATTGTTTTTGTATCTCCTGGCGTTGGGTGGTCTTAGTGTGGTTTGTCGAGTGGGAGGAGTGGTAGGCGGGTATAGCGAGGAGGGAAGAGCGCCGCTGAAACCCAGAGGGAGAGGCTGCGCCATTATCTTTATAAAACTCACAACGGAGTAGATCTCGCACAGACTTTTGACGGTATGACTTGGCATTATCCACATGGGAAACAGAAGAAGGCAGGATTTGGTTGAGGCCGTGTTTCAGCTGCCATGCCCTTGGACTCTTGGCTCTGGCTCGAATAGGAAGACCACGCGATGCTCATTTCAGCCGCACGGAGACTGGAAGATCGGCGCCATCATGGAAAGACAATGCTCGCAATTTACTGTCTGGTGGTAATTTCAAGTCTTGAGATTTGATAGTGAATTTTTTTCGGACATTGTTTCGCAGTTCTTTTTGAACAATATTGGGGTTCTCATCACAAACTTGGTATCTCAACTTGGTAGCTCAAGTAGGTAGCTCAACTTGGTCGTCACACGGGCAACCTTATTTAGAGGGACTCGGCTAGCCATCGCATCGCATATCTCGCATTGCCTTGTTTGCCTAACGGCACTAGTAGTGGCGGAAACAGGGCGGTCTGCTAGGAGCTGAAGCCTAGCTGATTTTAACCCTGGCCAAGCTTGTGATGAACAAGGAAGCAGTCGATAAATGACGAATCTTGTCAATCCAGATCTGTGTTGCAGATGGTAACTATTTGTAAACCAATGAATATGCAAAGAATCAGTATGGTGATTGTATCCTGTTGGTTGGAGTCGAGACGTCTCCCCCTGCCTCATCCCGCTTGCACTGACTTATCCATCTACGGGCTAACAACTCGGCCACGATTTTACAACGCCGCACATGTAGCGCCTTGAAAATGAGCGACCATGTCAGGCTGAGCAGCCAGGACTTCCAAAACGTTTACGAGTTTGGATTCACTTCGTGGGCCGCGCTGGCTGGCCGCTCCAACGCGACCGCTTCTCACGCGTGCGTGAATGACGCGCTCCGTCACCAACCCCCCTTTCCAGCCAACGTGCGTCTGACGAGCGAACACGGATGGGCTTACGCTACTGGCACGTCTCACTGGGCCGGCGGAGGCGCATGCGATCTCGCTGCATTTACCGCAAACGTGAAGCTTCAAGTCACGAGAAAGGATCCGATTTTGCTCTCTCTGGCCCCGGTAGAGGATGGCCTCCCTTTCCCCCTCGGCGAGCACAGCTACGTGGCAGTGCTCGTGCTCGCCCGGGCATATGTTCTTTCCGCGCGCTGGGCTCAGGTCATGCCTGTAGGCTGCGTCCAGTACACGGACAGCAGTGCCCCCTGCGCTGAAGACGCACCGGAGGGGGCCATGGTCATTGGTCTTGGGGACGCAAGTCCGATAGAAGCCCGTTGGTGGGCTGCGGTCTTGGCACGAGGCCGTGGTTGGCAAGCCACTTTGGTTCTCGGGGACGAGACATTCCTGTCACCGTGGACAACCGACTTGTGCCTGGCCCAGGATTTTGCCATCGCTACAGACTCTAGGCCTTGTGAGGCTCTCGGTACAGCACCTCCTTTCCCACGAGCCCTTGAGTATCTGCAAAAGTTCTGCGCGTACCATGACGTTTTTGACCAGAGTCGTGCTGCGCTGGCCGCCGCACTCCTGTTGCCTTGTTTCGGCAGCAGTCCGACGTTGCGACTACCAGCTGTGAGGGTTTGCTCCGAGTCAACAGGAAGCACCACTGCCCAGACAACCAACCTCCGAGCGTTGGATAATATGCACCAAACTGCATTCATGGACAAATGTCTAACACTAAGCTGCAATGCAAGAGGGATACGCTCAACCCTGCTGAGCCCTTTCTATGAGCCTAGCATAGAATGCAATGCTGTGACTCCGTGGCTTCAGGGGTCCCCGGCAGCCATAAACTCTATAGCAGGCAGTGACCGCCAGATGCTTCTGGCAATGATGGCAGCTCGCTCGCCGGCTGCTGGGTGGCTGTGGCTTGGCGCCGTAGTTCTCGGCGTCGACGGGGCACTCTTGCACCAAGCCGCGGCAGGCCTCCTACCGGTAGACCTGACTTCCTCTGCATGGTCGGGAACAGTTCATTCCTTCATGCAGGCACCCACTGCGAGATTGAGTGGGAGAGATGGCTCCGTGCCACGCGCTGACGAATGCAGAATACTGTTTCTTGCGCAGGCCAGACAGCACACGCGGTTTCCCGTCTGTCCTTGGGAACCATTCGGATCAACTCCACTTGTAGATGCCCATATTCAAGTGCGCAAGCATGTCCACTGCCAAGATCACGGGCTCCGATACGAAGGCTTCTCTTGGGAGTGTATAGGCGGCAATGCATTTTGGCCACCACAGGAGGCTAGCGCTTCTGTGCGAAACGAAAGAGTTGCCAGCGTGGCGTCTCAAGCTGTTTCGTATTCCAACATGAATCGTGACGATGAATGCAGCTCGGAGAATGCAACGCGGAGTATTTTTGGCTGGCTTCGTGTGGATGGCTACGCACGCCACGAAAAGGCAATATGGGGTCATGAATGGTTCGCATTGGGTTCAGACGACGACGACGATGAGCAAGAAACCGACTCGACGAGCCAAACTATGGAAAACACTAATGTATGGCCATGGCTGTCCAGTGTACGGGCCGACGACGGTGCAGTGGTAGAGCATTAGCCGGGCTCAGCCCATGACGCGGCGTCTTGGACGGCAAGACGTACACCTCGGGAGTAGCTGATGTACTTGCGAGAAGAAATGACCAGTGTAAGGAACTGCAGATGTACTTACAATGCGTATGGGACAAGTAGTATTGATTAGTACTTAGGAACTGTTGCATATATAAAAAGAATGGTCCGTAGAGCTATCCTACTTGCTTTACATCAATGATCCACAAAGAAGTGACGCATGATTTCTTGTGCTTCCAGCCGTTAAGGTCATAGCAACAAGAATTGCACTGACCACATATAGTTCAAATTGTATCCATGATCCCATGTCTTTGAGCAGACTATACTACCATGTAAATGCTTCATCCAGTAGCACAACACCACGAGCGAGAGAGCCACTCCTTGCCAATCTAGTCACCTCGTTGCGCACATTGTCGGCCAGTTCCGGCGGTCCGCACACGACAATACCCGCGGGGCCGCGCTCGCCCGAGCGCGCGAGCAGCTCCTCCTTCAGTATCGACGGGACATCCAGGCGCTCCCCGATGCTCGTGTCCACCTGCACGGCCGCCGGCAAGCCCAGGATGTCCTTGGCGCACTCATCCACCAGGCTGCGGTTGCGCACCCCCCAGTACAGCCGCCGACGGCAGCTGTGCTCGCGCAGGATGGGGAGCACCGCGCTGACGCCCACGCCGCCGGCGATGCACACAATCGACGTGCACTGCGACAGCTCCGACGCCGACGCGGCGTGGTACGGACCCTCCACGAGCACGGGCAGCCGCGTCTTGCCGCCCCCCGCGGCGACCCGGGCAGCCAGGCGTGCCGTCATGCCCGACTGGACGCGCACGAGAATCGCCATCCGGGGGTCGGACACGGGCGTGAATATGGTTGTGCGCGGCGGCGGCGGCGGTGCGGCTGCCATCTTCTCCTCCATCTCGGGCGAGATTTCCTGCTCCTCGGAGACTTTTTCCCTGGCGCTCTCGGTATCCGTGTCAGCAGCAGCGCCGGCGTGGGAGTCGGCGACGGAAAACGAGGACGCGACGGAGAAGGGATGGTTCTCCCAGAACCGCCAGCCCAGGGTCGGAAAGTAGAGATAGACGAGCCCGCCCGCGTGCGCGCCGGCAATGTCGATGCGGAGATACTCGCCCCCGGAGCCCGGCACGACGGACACGTGCGCCGTGCGCCTTCCCGCGAAGACGATGCGGCCCAGCCGCATCAGGCGCTCAGCAGCCCAGACACCGCCGAAGATGTAGCACCAAATCTCGTACCCCCATTTGAACGCGTAGCGGTAGAAGATGTGGTAAAAGTACCCCACGAGGAACAGCACGACCAGGACATGGTGCAGCGAGAGGAAGAGCTCGTAGCAGCGCTTGCGGACGGCGAGCACCGACGCGGGCCACAGCAGCACGACGGCCAGCGTGGCCACGACGCCCCAGATCCAGTACGGCTTCGTGACCTCCTGGGCGTAGCCGCCAAACAGGACATAGTACGCCAGCAGCAGGGCCGAGTGCACGACGGTGTGCGCCATCGTCAGGTAGCCAAACACGCGGTGCAGGAGCAGGTATGTGTCGTAGTTCCAGCCCGTCAGCGCCAGCAGCGGGTTGTTGCGGCCGGCAAAGACGGCGAGCACGACGGCGTTGCCCATGGCCATGACGCCGGCGCGGCAGCCAATGGTGCTAAGCTCCTGCTCGCGCACCGTGGCAAAGGTCGTCTGCGGCCGCAGCGTCGCGTACGGCACGATGAGCAGCACCACGTTGAGCACCACCACCACGCCCGTGTACAGCGCCTGCCCGCGCGTCGGCATGAAGCCGCCGCCGAGGGCCCGCGCCGTCGGCTGCCGGTGCTGGGCGCCCCAGAGCGGCGGGTACACGAGCAGCGAGTTGAGCCACGCCCACGACGGGGCGCGCGTGAGCGCCGGCACGAAGCGCGCGAGGGAGGCGCTGATGGCGAGCAGAAACGGGACGACGGTGATGACGATGCTAGAAAAGGAAAAGTGAATGAGTGGTTTGCGGTGATCTCTCGGGAGCAAATACGTACGTGTACCGGGAATGGCCGGCTTCGTTCAGCTCAAAGGCCTTGAGTCCGTTGTACTCTTTCAGCCAGTGCGAGCCGCGCACGAAGCTCGTCTCGTTGAGCGGCGCGCCGGGCCTCACCACCGGGAGCGTGGTGTTGACCGGGGTCGTGTCCTGCTCCTCGGCGTCTCCGTGGTGTCCGTGCCGCGCATAGACACCACCACCGCCACCGTCTCTCCTCCTCTTGCCGTGGGCGGCCTCGTCGATGCGCGACCGCCGCAGGGCTTCCTGGTACGTCAGGGCGGGCACCCAGGCGAGGGTGCCCGGGCTGCCGACGGCGACGTGGGCGGCCCAGTACTCCTCGAGCACGCCGACGCGGGGCGCCTCGGCGCTGGTCGGGCAGTACGTGTCGAGGCAGAGGGCCAGCGTCTGCAAGAAGGCCGGGTCGCGGGCGAAGCAGGCGGGCGGCGTCGTCGGCGGCGCGTCGGGCGGCGTGCAGAGCAGGACGGACCGGCCGAGGACGGACCGGCAGGCAAAGGCGCACGGCGGCTGGTACATGGTCTTGCCGAAGCCGATGATGCCAATGCCGTCGGCCAGCACGGCAGGGACGGCGACGGCGGCGAGGAGCAGGCAGTGCCGCATATGGAATGCGACCATTTCTTTTTGGTATTCTTTTTGTTTTGCTTTTTGGTGGTTTTATTCAGATAAGCGGCCAAGTCAGCATGAGTACAGGCGAGAAGCACAGTATTAGCGACTGGTTTGGAGAGCGGTGCGACGACAATAGCAGGTTCGCCTCATCTATTATATACCAACGCCGCCAAGCTACGACGTTGCACAATACCGAGCCAGTAATTGGCTGCACACCCACCGGCCCTTTTGCCAACACCAGCCCTTGGCAATAGGACAAGTTTTCGTAGACCACCAGAAAGGATGGATAATAAAAACTCTCAATCGTGCTCACATGCTCCTCTGAGCGCAGTCTGACGCTGGAGCGCCAAGATGTCGCGGGGACCCAGACAACAGCTTTCAAGGTGGGCTTACAACGGAAAAAGATGGACAAAAAAAGTCCCCTGCGCGCAACCTGTTTCCACAGGGGCGGGATTTGGCCGGCTTGAGCAGTAACTATTGCAGAAAAGCGTGTAGGATGCCAAGCTCTTAAATTGAGCCCTACCGACTTTTTCATGCGAGGTGGCCGTTCATTGTTCCGAGTGCATGGACTTCAGTTCCAGGGCGCCGGTTGCGCCGACCCGGGTTTTCCCCACCTGCCAAACGGAGAGTGTCCGTGATGCTTCCGAAACGCCCTCAGCTGGGGCGAGACGTCTCTCCCAATATCGGTAAAGCGTCTTCTGCGGGTCGTTTATGCTTTATTACGAATTACATTCCACTAATCTGTAGCTTTGGTTGTAGGTCGAGCAAGTTAATAAATTGCTTATATTCTCCATCAAATGAAAAGTGAGCATCATGTACTATGCCAGGCTGGCCCACGCCGCGCAAATAAAAAGTATATACAAGAAAAATTCCGCCCTATATTTTGGTATATTCCGCTCCCCCTCCGTCATAAAATCCAAGCAACTTATACAGCTCTTGTGCGTGCAAAGTTCCCATGGCGCCGATCACAGCATCAAAACAGCAGCACCGACCATGAGCGCCACCACCGCCGCCACAGAGCGCCGCCTTTCAGAAGCAGCGGTGGCGGCCGAGTCCTCGTCGTTGGCGGCGAGGTTGATCATGCTCACGTTGCCGGTATAGACATCGATGCTGACGCCATTGCTTGGGGGCACGGGTGGCAGCACCGTCGTCTTGGGCGACGACGACGACCCCGACCCCCCGGTAAAGACAGCCGTCAGGGAGCTCTTTGTGCAGAGCGGCCGGACGCTGACCTGGAACACGGGCCCGCCGCAGTCGGTGTGCACGCTCCGCAGGTAGTCGGTCGCGCTCGTGTACCTGCTCCTGGCGGCGGCGAGGTAGGCCAGGTAGTCGGGCTCGAGGCTCGCGGGGAGCGTGACGGTGCAGAGGTTGCCCTGCCAGGGGTGCGGCGACGCACCGCTGACGGAGAGGGAGGAGCGCAGCGCGGCGCTCAGCTCGGCGTTGGCGACGGACCGGCTAAAGGCCCTGCTGTAGACTGAGTGCGCGCACGTCTTGTTGAAGCCGCCGCTGCCGCCGCCGGCAGAGGAGCTGGCGTTGTCGCCGCGCTTGTACGGGCTGCTTGTGATTTGCGCGGGGTGCGGGAGTATGTCGACGACGACGACGTTGGTGGCCGCCGGCACGTCGAGGGTGAGGCCGGCGCCGGAGCCGACCAGCACGGCCGCTGCCGCTGCAGCAGTCGTGAGGCGCATCTTGGCACGTTGGTGAGAGACAAAGAGAGACAAGGAGAGAGAAAAGGGCAGCTTTGCACGCCTCTGCTTTTTTCCCTCACGGCCACATCCTGGCTTGTTGAGATGGGCATTACTCGCAAGTGGGGAGCGCTAGCAAAGGGACCGACATTGCAGCTTCCAACATTCGCCGATCGGCTAATGAATGAGTGTACTTTTGGAGAGAGAGAGAGTCATGTTCTTTGTCGTGGCGGTATGGAATGGTTAGCAAGAGTAAACCCCATTTTGGCAAATACTCAGGTCATGTCTCTGATGTCAACCAACGATATCCAAATGGTACACAGCCCTGGTAGGCTTCAAGAATGGGCCTGTGGGTTCCCACGTTTCTATCCGTACCCGCTGGTGAGACACGACCATTATTATTAGATTTTGGGTTCTGCATCATCATCGCCAAGGTTTTGAAGAGATGCGGTTCGAAAAGATTCGACCCTTCTGTGGCGCACTTTTCTCCTTTGCCAAATTCACTAGCTGGGCATTGACAGGTACATATGTGGCTGTAATGTGCAGAGTAACGACTGAGGCTGATCAGGGACGACAAGACCAGGCTTCGATTGGAAATGCCCATTCAAATGCGGAGGCTTAGCTTCGGCAAGCTAAGTATGCCGACAAATTACCCACAGACCAGTACTGTAAGCCAGCCCGCGCATTTCGAATTGTCTTGTTGCAAGTTTAAAGGCCCCATCTTCGTTATGCGTGGCTTCAACTTGTTGGACAGCGCCGGCGCCTCGATTGGATCCCCGCACATTCAAGGCAACGAGGAGATGGCCGTTTCTTCAAAGGAAGGAAAACGTCTTGCAAATGTGGAGTTGCGGGCTTCTAATCTGAAACCTTGCCCGAGATGCTAGTTAGTCAATCATCGTTATCGAATTATGACGAGTAGCTTTATGACGAATAGCTTCCAACCAACGTAGAACACATGTGCGGCGCGTAGACTACCAGGTTGGATGTACATGTGAGCAAACGACTCAAGTCTCGAGACGGATTGACGCAATGCAAGTGCCGGGCCGCAGCTGCTAGAGGTGCAGCAGCACATAGATGATCGCTGTCACTTTGACCGCAACGTCTTTGTTTCCGGGCCCATGTCAAGGCGTCTAGGCATGAGCCACTAAAACGGTGGTTGCAGATGGCATTATGCAGGCGAGGGGCGGGCACCGCTTGGTTAGGTTGCTTTGTCTATTAGGTAAAGCAACGTTAGTAAGCCATGTTGTTCATCACCCCAATGGTCCAACGATGGAGATGTCTGGGGGATCCCGCCTGAGGGATCTGCGCCAGTTGAGCGGGGTTGCCGACGATGTGATGCTGCAGTCTTCCTCTCTCCTATCAATGCGTGACGTGTGACCGCTTGTCCTGCAGCAGAGTCGGTGGGCGTTGGATAACTCGGGGTCAAAAGAAGGATATTGGAGAAGAGGGAAGAGGACGAGGTGTGCTCCCTTGGCCCTGGGTGGCGGCGTGCAAGGATGAATTGTCGGAAACGGTGTGTTGTACAGAAGATGCACGTTGGTGGTTGCATGGCCCAAAGTGCCCAAGGCCTTTCCGAATGGAGTCATGTTTGCGAAGCAGTACTTTGTAGGAATTACTGGGTACTGACTCGCAGCGACGAGGATGGTTGGAATTGGGTGCGGCGGTTGATGCTCAAAAGGAGCGAGAATGTACGGAGAGGGAGGGGTTTGGTTTCTCGTTGTTTCGTTTGCCGTCGAGCGAACGCTGGCGCCGCGGCGTTGACGGGCTGGCTTGTGATGGCGGGCTGGGCTGGGCTGGGCTGGGCGGGTTGACAGCTGGCAAGGCACTGACTGACTGGGCAATGCAAACGAAACAGGAGCGGCGGTCCGGCAGAATGAAGAAACAGAGTGCGTTGGCAAACAGGCGTTTTCTTTCACAATTCAACGGAAATGAACTTGCTTGAAGAAAAAAAGAAAAAAAAAGAAAAGAAAAAACATCAACATGTCAGTGTAATCCTTGTCAGTATAATCGATGGGAATAGTTCGTCCTCGGGCGACGGCAGCAGTTGGGGCAGACAGCGCACACGTACTTATTACCTGGCCAAGGCCCGAGCCCACGTACCCGGTGCCAACTACCCCAATTCGGAACAGGCGGGCCTGAACCTCAGGTGCAGTGCAGCAAGCAGCCAAGGCCAAACAGCAGCTTGGCTTCGAGTCCATGAGCTTCAAAGGGGTCAGGTAGGTCGATGCAAGCAAAAAGATACAGTGTGGCCTTTTTGTTTACGCCTTGCGCGTGCATTGCTCAATTTCTACTGGTTCAAGACCAAAAAAAAAATGTCCAAAGAAATGTCCAAAGAAATGTCCAAAAAAATGTCCAAACACAAACCCTCGCAACTCCTCCTCCTCCTCTCCTCACCAGCCACAATTTTTCATTGGCCTGCCACACAGAGCCTTTTTTTTTCCCCTCTTCCTCCTCCACCCCCTCACCATCCATCCCCATGGGGTCGCTCTCTGCACGTCTGCTCTGCAATCCCCACACTCCAACAAGCTCGGCTTTTTTTTCTTGGTGCTAGGATTTAGGATTTTCTTCTCTGCCCTTACCTTCTCCCCAGAATCCCGGGTCAGCAGGAACACGAAAGCTGAATCGATTTGGAGAAGAGAACACGGACAGACGCATTGCAAACTCAAACGACGACTGCACAGCGCCGCTGACGGAATCGGCTTCTCCGCGTTTCCCGCCGACGCTCGGCTCTGTGCATCACCAGCCCTTGCGCTCGCTGCTCGTCGACGTCGTCCCCAGACCGCTGACCATCTATCTTGGCCCTTTTCCCCTCACGAGTAGCCCACGCACGGCGCCACCAACCCCCGGAGCCAGTACTTGGTTAGTCTGCAGCGCATCAACCTGAACACACACCACCGCGAGGCCCACGGCTATTTGCCCTCTCGACCGCTCGCCCTTTATTCGCGAAACACGCTTGAGAAGCTCGCCGCCAAAAGGGCTTTTTGTTCTTCTCTCCTTGTCGACCGAGAGTCTTCATGTCCCTTTCCCCGCCTCCCGCTGCATCGCCCCGGCCTCGTCACCCCCACCCGTCACCAACGAATTCTGTTGCGACCACCTCTTCACGCCATTCACCACGAGTCATCGCATGGCGGCAGCCGGTCCAGTCCCTCGGCGCCCAACACTTGTCACCCCAGACTCCGGTCCCTGTCATTCCGCACCCGTCCATTGGCTCCCCTTCCTGACTCCGTACGACTACCTCCGTTCTGTCCGCCTTGACCCGCGCCAGAGTTCTTCCTGCAATCTTTTGCTTCTTTCTGATCCTGCCCGACAAGACGCCCCCCCGGTCCCCCCGGTCTCGTCCCGCGCTGCTACAACACCATTCACTCTCTAGTGCTTCCCCCTCCAGCAATCGTCTCACACGCCTTTCCGTGCCGTCCGCCGTGCCGTCCGTCGTTTTCTCCGCACACACGCACCCTCGACGCCTCCCACGCCTTACCAGTCCCTATCCCCCCCCCTCTCTCCCCCTCGGACTCATCGCTTTCAAAGTAGCGTCCTCGTGAGGCGTGCGAGAGGGGGCCAAGCTCTCTACTCCTCACCCGCCTCTACCAGACTAGCCCTGCTCAATTCTAGCTTCCTTCCCCGAGACCTGTAGTCCACTGTGTCCATGCCAACGCAATAGCTTCTCACTTGCAGCTCATCACTAACACACCCGACCACACATCACCCCCCACACCATATACTGCAAACACGCTGGCCCTATCTCGGCCTCTGGTCAACCTCTGTGTGAGCCCTTGCCTTACCCCAACCGACCTCTTCCCCGCCCTGGGTTGGCTCTGAGGCGTGTCCTCAACCACCGTCAACGCACACGCGCGCCGGCATGCTCCCTCTTCCCGCTCTCGAGGCTCCGGCTTCTCATCCTCCACCGTCGTCGCTCCCTGGTGTCATCGGCACATCAGAGACCACTGAAACCCGCAACCAAAAGCCCAAGACGCTGCCTTGCAAGTATTGCAGCAAACACTTTCGGTCAGTACCTCCGCTGCGTGCCACCGTGGCTTGCCCCAACTAACCAAACTCCTTCAGTCGGGTCGAACATGTGCAACGGCATGAGAGAACGCACACAAAAGAGAAGCCTTTTGCCTGTCCCTGGGATCGCTGCGGCAAGACATTTGGGCGCCGGTGAGTTACGACCAGTAATTATGGTCTTTTGTTTTAGCGCAACCCTTTTTTTTTTTTTTCTATATTTATCTTCCCTGTCCTCTTCGCCATGCACATGCAATGCCACAGTACCGCGACTTCAGCTCCACTCAGCCCATCTGACATCACTCACTCACCTTTCCCACACTTGTCCTATCTTCTATGTTGCCAGCCTATTTGCCCCCAGTTTCTGCGGCCGTCTTCATTGGCCATCTCCCCCTTCCAGTATAGCTGACCCTCATGGACATCAGGGATCTCCTCGTGCGACATGAGAAACTCGTTCATCTCAATGATGCCAGCAAAGACAATGCTCGTCCGAGGCCCTCATCGTCGAGCGCCGGCTCGCACAAGCCTTCCTTGTCTGACGGCCATGTTGAGGCCGACGCCATGAACATGCACCGCACCACTCTCCCTCCTGTTGGTCCGCCGCCGCCGCAGCAAATGTATCATCCTCAGCCGCCCATGCCGAATAACATGCAGCCCATGCAACAGTCGATGCAACAGGATCACGCCATGAAATCAAGACTGGCAGCCTGTAACCTTGACGTTCTGTCTGATGCTGCCCTCGCCAGTGAAGTCAGCTCCATGGCACCCATGATGAATACCATTTCACAACAACCGACGAGCCACGCCAGAGGTAAAAGCTTTGGCGAGGTCATGCCTCAATTCGGCCAACGCCAACCTCAGGATCAAACTCATGTCATGCCAACCTTTGCACAGCCGCCAGCACCGCAGGCCGCGTATGACGACTATAATGTCTTCTTGGACGATTTTTCCTTTGCGCCACATTTCCTGCCACCGCACTTTGAACCCGACCAAACCATGAACATGTGGACTCGCTCACCAGCTACTATGAACCAGAGAATGGCCTCGAAACCAGTGTCGGCGATGCCGTCACGCATTGGCTCCCTTGGGCCGGATGCTCGTGATGCGACCGATTTTGTTGGAGATGCTTCGCGTCCTTCTCCTTTGCGCATATCTGCTGCAGATTATGCAACCATCAAGAAGAAACTGGATGACTTCTCGTCTGTACTACCAAGCGACTTTGTGTGCCCTTCGCGGCATACTCTGACACGATTCTTCGAAGGCTATATATCCGGATTTCACGATCTACTACCTGTTCTGCACCTCCCTACGCTATCGCCCGCGGCCATCGCTCCAGAGCTGCTGCTCGCAATCCTAGCCGTCGGTGCCCAGTACCGGTTTGAGAGCAACCGAGGCTACGCACTCTGGTATGCTACAAAAGCGGTGGCCATGGAGCAAATTCGAAGAAGACACAGCTCAGAAATATACGCGCTGCTGCCCAGCACTGCATCGTATAGTCCGCATTCGACTCGTCCTTCGCCAACATCTGGTTACCGAAATTCCTTTGGCTCAGGTCAATCAGAAAGACCTTCTACCACCGATGGAAGTCGCGATCCTGTGTAAGTCGGCATGTACTCCCTTTTGCAGGCGTCTTGCTAACCAGCTCTAGTTCCCCCAACACCCCCCAAGCGCGATTAGAGACGATACAAGCCATTTTACTGCTCTTCGCCGTAGGGTTATGGGGAATCAAAACAATATTGCACGAATCTCTGTCACTGCAAAGCAATCTGGCCATCTTGATAAGAGAAGAGGGCCTGCACATGGATGCCAGTCAACTGGCCATTGGCAACTGGGAAACGTGGGTCCAACGAGAAGGCGCTCTGCGGACAAAAGTCATTGCTTTTTGTTTCTTCAACTTGTGCAGCATGACGTACGACATGCCGCCGGCGCTGCTCACCTCCGAAGTCCATCTCTTCTTACCCTTGACGGCACGACTATGGCGTGCCGAAACGGCATGGCAATGGCAGGAACTACGGCAATCGACGCCGCTGGTGGAAATTACGCTCCACGAAGCCTTTTCCAAATTCTTTGGTCCCACAAACGCAGTCTTGCCTTCAGAGCTCTCGTCACTCGGCCACTATGTACTGATCCACGCCTTGGTCCAGCACGTATACCTGCTAAAACAAACTTCCTTTGCCGCCGGGCCTTCGTATGATATGCAACGCACTTTGAGACCAGAGGATGTCGAGCAGGGCTCCCAAGCCTTGCGCATGTGGCACACGAGCTTTGAGCAACGTCACCAGCTGCGAGCCGCCGAAACAGGTCAATACGGAAACAACGATACAATGACCGGAGGGTCCCTCGTGTACAATGCGACGGCACTGCTGCGACTGGCATACATTCGACTCTACACCGACACACCTCCTAGTAGAGCACTGCAGACGCGAGACTCGATGTTGATTGCGTCGGCCATGCATAACACGCCCGGGCTGCCGCGCAACCACCGTGTCCAACGCGCCGTATTTCAAGCAACGCACGCGTTGTCCATGCTGGTCAAGGTAGGCGTCAACTATGTGGCCAAGGCAAAGTCGACCGAGTGGAGCATTCAGCATTCCCTGTGTAACTTTGAATGTGCCATTCTCGTGGCCAAGTGGCTCATGAGCCTAGCATCCATAGGGCCGCAAGACGCACCGGCATCGGGCGAGGAAGTCAACCTGCTGGATACGGTGCGGCGGATGGTGGACGAGACCGAGTTTGCCGTGCCACAGCGAGACGCCCACGTCAGTGACGCGGTCAAGCTCCGGCAGCTAGCCAGTGCGGTGGTGCGGCTGTGGTCGGAGACGTTTAAAGGAACGCACATCTTTGACATGGTCAAGACGATGGGCGATAGTCTGGACGGCTACGCCAGCCTAGTCGAAAAATCCTAGGAGCGACTTTCCACGAGCAGCGTGTCGTGTGACGAATATGCAAGGTTGGCGCGTGCAGGGATAGTAGAGCAGAAATTCATGGCAGGGGCTTTTCCGTTCTAGACTGGTTGCATTCCACGGAGCGGGTTACCAATGGCGGAAATTTGACGTTTGAGCGACACGATGATGCTCTCGGAGCGTCGCAGTTTGTACATTGTATACATGAGCTTGTAGAAAAAGTCTGGAGTTTTCGGTTTGGTGGTCAACTAAACTGCAATGACACAGCACGGCAGCAGGAGTTTGGACGTACGAATTTAAGGAAAGAGTCAAATGAACCATGCGTGACGAACTCTCTGCGTATATAGTGTGAGAGCTGTCAAGGGTGGCGAGCTACGGATATATAGTGTGAGAGCTGTCAAGGGTGGCGAGCTACGGATATATAGTGTGAGAGCTGTCAAGGGTGGCGAGCTACGGATATATAGTGTAAGAGCATTGTCAAGGGTGGCGGGCGAGCTACGGAGTAATATAAGAGTCGAGATTTAATCGCCGGTTCTAGACGCGGAACTGGAGTCGTAGATTGCGGGGAGAAGGCGGGCGCGGAATCTGTCCGCGGACCCATGGACCCGTGCCCACGGAGTGTAATCCGGTATAGTTGCAAATAGGCTGCACGGTTATACGCATTGATTCTCGATATCAAGATGAACGCCCGTTATGAATCTAGTCTTTTTCGGATACTCGGGAATCTGACGGTTAAAACCCCGGTGGAGAAGGGATGCCAATGCGACGATGAACGACGCTTGCGCCAGGGCGACAGGATCCTGTCGACCTTTGTGCCCACGCAACTATCGTCTTCGCTTCAAATTACCAAAAATGAAGAAGAGCGCGTACTACCAGCGTCTTTTCTCTTTGCATCGACATGGCGGCGGCACGTTGACTTGTGGCGCACCACGTACAAGGCTGCGCCATACACCATGACGTCACTCGCGGAGGCCGCCCTCAGCAGCTGATAACTATTCCAGCAGCAAAACACACACACAAGGTCATAAGCTTCGACGGCCTTGCTCTCCCCTCACCAACTTTCAATCTCGCAACAAACTCTTACCAACCATCGCAAACCACTTTGCCATCTATTTCTTTTATATTGACTACAAAGCCGTCATCATGTCTCAGCAACAGCCCGTGCAGCTGCCAGCGCTCGCGCATCCCATCGGCCAGTTCAGCCACACGGTCTCGACCGGGACCGAGACCATGATTCTGCAGGAAAAGGTGCTCTCGCTGTCCGGCGACAGCTTCGACGTCAAGACGATTGACGGGCGGCCGCTGTTCAAGGTGCAGGGGCGGCACGCGACGCTCTCCGGGCGCAAGTCCGTGTCGGACGTGGCGACCGGTACCCACCTGTATGACATTGTCAAGGAGCATTTCCACCTGCACGCGACGTATGTGGCCGAGACGCCCGACAAGCGGAAGTTTCTCGAGATTAAAAGCTCCATGAAGTGTATGTTTTTTTTTATCTATAGATGATGTTCGCTAACAGACGACAAAGTGTTTGGATCGAAAGCGACAGCCACGTTTACGGCGCCCGACGGCCGCACGTTCGTCATGGCGATGCGCGGCAACTGGCGGGATTCCAAGGCGGACATTGTCCTCGGCGAGGATGCCAGCCAAGGACCGGTGGTGGCCCGCATTGACCGGCAGTTCTTCAACAAGAGGGAATTCTTCGGGGGCCAGCAGACGTACGCGGTCACGGTGGCGCCGGGCATGGACCTGGCGCTGGCCGTGGCGCTGTGTATTGCGCTCGACGAGAAGAATAACGAAAAGTAACCACGGGTCCTGGACTGTTTTGAGGAATTGTCGCAAGGAATTCATGCGAAAGTCGGAGGGGTTACCGGGGCGCCTATGCTTGTTGACTTTATTGATTGGTGGAATGGTTTGAAGCCCCGTCTTTGGACGAAGAGGCACAACGGCGGGAGAGCAGTGCTTGGCCTCGATCAAGAGCTCTCTACACTCTATTGGTTTAAACGCTAGCCGGTTTGAAAGAAGATTGGAATAAGCATAAGAGCTAAAAAGTCAAACTAGCTACGTAATGATATTTGAAGGAAAAACGAATTATGTAATACAATCAAGTTTCAGCGAATTTTGATATACAAAGAAAAACTACAAGATTTATTACATATTTCAAAAGTCAACATATCTGGTTATTTACCTCTGGCTATTGGCTATGTAAGTGACGACATGCCGAGCAGAGCCGCCGGCTAGCCAGCGACAAGGGGTCCAACAAGCCGACCAAACGACCCATCGGACCTTGCTCCGCGGCCTTTAAACAGGATACCCCAGATTTTAGAAAACGGTTATCTCTGCATATCATCGCATTTCCCCATAACCGCAAACCATCCGCGGAGACCCCCCCGGCGCGATAGCCTCATCTCTCCATCACCCAAGAGCCCCAGCATGTGAGGGTCCCACCGAGCGAGCCGATTGGGGCAGGTCTCTCCGGGGTCAGACCAGGGGTGGGTCGCAACCTCGGCTGTTGGAGCGCTCGCCAATAAAGACCGATCCCTGGTCATCATCACCGGTCCCGCGTTTGCAGCTTCTTCCGACGTGACCTGTTTTTTAAACCTCGACGCTCCCACCTCCTTTATCCTTCTCTTCTGTATATCATCCTTCTGCTTCATCGTCCACCTCCTGTTCACGCCTCCTCCCATTCCAACACCCACAAACAACCCGCCAATATGCCCATCGTCACAGAGCTCACCCGCAAGCTGGGCATCCGAGGTACGTTCCCGACGTTGCGCCCCGCGATCACGACGACGAGCCGTCCGTTCTAACTCCCCCTCCCCCTCGCAGTGCCCATTGTCCAGGGCGGCATGATGCACATTGGCACCGCCGACCTCGCCGCGGCCGTGTCCAACGCGGGCGGCCTGGGCATCATCACGGCGCTCATCTTCACGACGCCGGCGGCGCTGCGCGACGAGATCCGGCGCTGCCGCACGCTCACCAAGAAGCCCTTTGCCGTCAACATGACGCTGCTGCCCTCGATGGTGCCGCCCGACTACCCGGCGTACGCGCAGACCATCATCGACGAGGGCATCAAGGTGGTGGAGACGGCGGGCAACTCGCCGGGCCCCATCATCAAGCAGCTCAAGGCGGCCGACATCATCGTGCTGCACAAGTGCACCACGATCCGCCACGCGCTCTCCGCCGTCAAGCTCGGCGTCGACTTCCTCAGCATCGACGGCTTCGAGTGCGCCGGGCACGTCGGCGAGAGCGACATTACCAACTTTATCCTGCTCAGCCGCGCGCGCCAGGAGCTCTCGATCCCGTTCATCGCCTCGGGCGGCTTCGCCGACGGCCAGGGGCTCGCGGCCGCGCTGTGCCTCGGCGCCTCGGGCATCAACATGGGCACGCGCTTCATGTGCACCGTCGAGGCCCCGCTGCACGAGAACATCAAGAAGACGATTGTCAAGTCGGACGAGAACCAGACGGCGCTCGTCCTCCGCCGCTGGCGCAACACCTCGCGCCTCTTCAAGAACAAGGTCACCGAGGACGCCCTCAAGATTGAGCGCGAGAGCACCACCGGCGAGTTTAGCGAAATCGCCCCCTACGTCTCCGGCAAGCGCGGCAAGGAGGTCTTCTCCAACGGCGACCCCGAGCACGGCGTCTGGACCACCGGCCAGGTCATGGGCCTCATCCACGACATCCCCACCTGCGACGTCCTCGTCAAGCGCATAGAGAAGGAGGCCGAGACGGTCCTCAACGAGCGCGTCGCCCTCGTTGTCCCCGAGTCCAAGCTGTAAACCCAGAAAAGGTCGCAACGAGCCCATTGGTCATTCTGTCATCAGCAAGCCAATAGAAAGACATTTCATGAGAAAAGATACTAAAGTAGACGTCATGACTTGGAAATGACTGTGTTGGATATATTTCTTTTCTTGCATCTAACTACAACATGTATTTCCGTCGATACTTGATATATTCGAAATCATACTCTCCTGGCATTCCCTCTGGGCCTCCAGCCTCATCATCTGCGCTTTACTGATCCTGTGGGGGTGGGGTCGAGTGATCATGTAGAAGCCACGTGCAACTCATAAGCGACCCCAGACGTAAGTAGCAAAGCCAAATATTTGCTTCCATTTAATATAAGTGATGACGTCAAGTATACTCGACCCGGGGAGGTGTACGGGTGTACTTGTTGCTAAGGCCACATTTCATGGTCTCCCGCTCGGAGGAAGCTACCAAGTGACTGGTGCAGTAACACTCTCCGTGGGACATTATGTTCAACCAGCAGAGCCGGAATATGCCATAAACCTCCAGAAAGTACGCTGTACCTTTTTCTTGCTGGCCAGACTGTGCGGCAACCGTGCCCTGCTGACCATAGGATGGTGATGCCACTACCACTACCGCCACTACCGCCACTCTCGCGGCAAACCTAGCCAGGATAGTCTACTTGTAAGCTACCTATGCTTTCTAGTCTAACTTTTCATTATTTTTTTTTGTAAAAGCTAGATCATTCGTAGCGCTATCCGAGTATATATATATATATCTTTTCTCTATCAAGCCTTTTTACACATTTCCGAACCTCACAATCCCACCCTTCAAAACACGCCACACAACCATCAACAACATGTCGACTCCTGGCGCATCTAATCCCTCCGAAAGCCCCTGCCAAGAATCCAATCTCTCAGATAGCCCCTGCCAAGAGGCACAGCAGGAAGCTCAGCCTCGCCTTGAGATGACAGATGCCGAACATGCGGCCGTCTATACCCGTCGTAACGGTATAGGGTCTAATTTCACCTTTTTTTGCATGCGCCGAGAGGCAAGGGAGCTTGCGCGCCTGAAACCACCGCTCACGCCGGAGCAGCGGAGGAAAAAGTGCCTGGCCACCATCGCCGCGGCGCGGCGGGCGCTCTCCCTCCCCCCAAAAAACCGCCTGAAGCTCTTGCCGGCCGTCAAGTCCTCGGGGAACCGGGGCGGCTGGTCGCCCGACGGCGAACGACGGCTGCAAAAGTACATGGCGAGGAAGATGAAGAAAGAGGCTGACGAAACAGCCGTCATGGAGTGGGGAACCCAGCCGCTCTTCACTATTATGGAAGAATAGGAAAGCAGCTGGGCATCGACCACGACCTGCTCCGCTTCGACCACGGGTGTCCGCCTCTGTTGGTCTGCATCTACATCCACTGACTGGTACAGAACGGCAACGGTGAATGACAAGTGACCTATACTGCACTCTTGCTGCTAGAGAAACCCGAGTAGTGTGACTCTTTTCGAGGATGATGTAGTTTCGAGGCTGTGGCAGGAACAACCGAAACTTGGCTGCTGATTGTGGTCAGTTATTTGACCGATCCCGGACTGCTTCGCTGCACATAAAGTCCCACGGAAACAGTTTCTTAAATACATTCATATGTATACATACATGTACACATATTTCTTGTACAGTTTTTTTGCAAGGTGTAAAAGAAATGTTAGCATTCATCAGTACCTGAGAACCCCACACACCCTTAACAGCCACACCTGCATGTAGATCTGCAACCATAACCCCGACGAAGGAATCGGTTGTAATAGAGATTCAAAGACGTATAAATCAGGGACAAATGCAAAAAGAAAAAAAAAACATACAGCAGCCGGTGTTCGCTGGTCGTCACCGACCCAACTACTAATCTGCCGGTCAGTAGCTTGATTTCAGCGGAGCGGACGGGACGCGATATTTTCTACTGCCTATGGCCGTATGTACCAGTCACTTGACAAATTTGCTATATATTCAGATGGCACCAGCGAGGACGAGATCCTGAAATGCGAAATGCACACAAGCACATGGCGGTATTCGGGCTGCGAGCCTTGAGAAACCCTTTGCCGTTGGTAGATTACGTTGACGCTTTTTTTATTATAGCTGAAGTCATACAACATCCCAGCCTCAGTCTACCTGCGTTATCAAACATGTTCAGAAAATCGAACAGGTAAGAAGCGCGATGAAAGCTTTCGATGGTCTCTTTTATGCCAGCAGGTGTTGGTCTGTGAGCTTGCTAAGTAGCAGTTGTTTATTGGTTCATTACTGGTGGTCCGCGATGTTGTCAGCTGTCCAAGTGGCGGCCAGACGTTGCAAGGGTCCTGCGGCAACACGTCAATTAAAGCTGGCAACTTTGTGAGGGTTCCTCTTTCGGTTGGAAATGCACGAGAACTAAGATACTTGGCGCTTTTTTTATTCCCGTAGGGAGTCTGGCCCTTGTCACAAAATCTAGGTATTGGAGCTCCAGAATGGTGACCTTGTACAATTTGCTACGAAAAGATCTAATGCGGTTGGGGTCGCCGACGGCCAACAGGACGTTTCCTGTCGAGTCGACGACGACGGCATGAAGCTCATGCCAATGTTCGCTGGTCGTCAAATAAATAAATAAATAAATAAATAAATAAATAAATAAATAAATAAAGCTCGACATGCTGGTATACGTGCGGGCAGAGGGGGTAAAGTGCTGGCCACTATCATTTCGAGACTTATAGGCCTGACGCCCAGCGCATAACCGTGTACTAGCACCTAAGCACAGACTCAGGGGACATACTAGCAACCTACTAAGGTACCAAGGACACGGGATGGGTACTGGTAACTCTACCTATAGCCCGCTCATAGGTACCAACAACTAAATTTAACGCCCAGGCCACATACTGGCAACTAACAGGAGGACGTAGGATGAGTACTGGCAACTCTACCTGTAGCCCGCCTATAGGTACCAGCAACTAAATTTAACTCTTTACCATCACAACTGTCCCTTGTGGAAGCTGCCAGTTCATTTGAACAGCAAACCAATAGCCGTTGCAACAAAAGTCCTTCTCTGTCGCGCCAGCCCACTCCCCCCTCTACGAGATTCTGCGCAATAGGATTAAAGAGGTGCAGAATTTGTGCAGCCTCACAACCACATATTCCTACATCTTTCCCAGCCCTGTGAAGGTCGTTTATCGTGACATTCGTTTTGCCCCTAGCTGGTGTTAGCCGTGCATCTAGCGACTCAGCTCATTATGACTTACACGGCGGCCGCTAATTCGGACGAGGCCAAGAACAAAATTCCATATCCGAGATGGGTGGTAAGTACGGACCATCGCTTACCGTATCGTTTGCGCTCATGAAACTTGGCGCGGAGCTCTGCCTTGTGCTCCTTGTTCGCAGTTTCCCACCCAGGGTGAATGCTCTGTAAGAGCCTGTCGACCATCACTGATGCGTAGCCCCTACCCCTCCGGGCACCTTGTATGCAAGGCTGCTCTGAAAGTCTTTCAGCAATGAGGGCATCGTATTTGGCTTGAAGAATAACCATGGCAGCACGGGTTCGGATCGCATCATTCCCCATCCGTGATTCGAAACGACAAATACAAGAATAAACATGTGCGAGACCCCCTTCGCCCGGAGCAGCTAGCAGGTCGCCGCCGGGGGCAAATTTCTCGTGCCACAAACCCTCTTTGGACCATTGCGGGATGTTACGAGTCAGAAGAGGGATGGCGTCTTCTCGGATGTAGTTTCGAAACGAGAGTTGGAATCCTCGGCGTTCTCTGGCAGAAACCCTTTTAGTACCGACCAAATCGTCAGTCGGAATCACGCTGGGGGGGTTAATTGGTGATTGCGCGAGGTCCCCAGTGGAGGAGGAGAGCCAAAAGGGAGGCGTGGCGGGAAGGATCAATTCCGAAAAATGGGCTAATCGTACGTCAGATGAGTGAAATTGGGGCCTAGGTAGCAGCAGAAGCAAGTCATATTACCCATCACAGTGTTGTCGTGGGCAGCGGTAGCTGTCTCGGTATCAACGGCAGCATCGAAAACATTCTGTGTCCAATGATGAGTCGTTGGGTACACGCCAGCTTTCTACATACAACATACATACCTCGGTAAATACATTCTGAGAACAGACGGAGTCGTAGAGCAATCCTTGGTTACCATCTAGTGATAGGATATCCGTGGCATCAAATCTAGGCTCGGGCGTAATGATATCCACAGCATGGTTGGTGGCTGAGGTTGGGTGAGGCAGCTCCGATCCTTGCGTGCTGGCATACTGGCCTGCGCCCAGCGCCGTAAATGCCTCTGACTCAGGGCCTGAATTTGGATCTGTGCTGAAGCCGATAGACTGCCTACCTGTAGTGTCAGCATCTGATCATTTCATGCTCAACACAGAAGTCGCTTACACAGAATCCACAAGTTCCTCGATAATTAACATGTTTTTATATTCAATCGTACCTTGTGCGGTCCAGAACGGACACATCTCCGTGCGGTAGGGTTGTAAGCGATTCAGGAAAGCATCCATCTGGGCGCTGCTTGCAGTATCTAGAAATAGTTTTATGGCCTCAAGTAATTGGGCCGCGCCGTCCACCGTGGAGAAAGGCGACATGGTTGCGCAATCGTAACAACGAAGTACACCTATACAGAATGATTGATATCTCGGCGTTCAAGAATGGATCTGTCTTGAGACACGCTAAAGTGGTGCTTGGTTAGTAGAAGTGCTCGTTACTTATATTCTAGCCTAATCTTGATATCGCGCATCCCACAATGTTCAGCTATGATGTCGCCCGTCTTCAGATGGCAGCTGAATGCTGCTTACTGCAAGCGATACATCACAATTATTGTAGCAGCGCAGGCTGTTAGAAAAGCTCGGGCCGGTCCGCGTGTGCATTCGAGCTTCTCCACTGGCACTTTTGTTCTCTATTAATATCGCGCATCCTATAATGTTCAGCTATCATTCCGCCAGTCGTAGGATAGTAGCTGAATGCTCTTGTGACCTCATTTGGGAATGTCGGGTTATATTTTCAAGAACTGCTTCTACACGCTGCTTCACGCTTGTGTTCGATAGGAGATGTCAAACTCAAAGTAGGCCTTCTTCACCTCAGAGAGATCCAAGCCCTCGTTTAGCTCTTGGGTGATTTCTACGCCCCATGTAGTCAACGGGCCGACGCGCGCCCAGGGATTGTCTTGAGAGCCCTCCAAGCCAATCTTCCCCTGCGAGATGGTTTGAGGACGACCGTCCGGCTCCTTCAACTTGGTACTGCAAATGAACAGCACCGTGAGAGGTTGATGCGTAAAAGTGACCGACGAATTGTCCCGCTTGACGAATGTTTCCGGGCCGGGATGCGTCAACCTGACATAAAGTTTGTCGCCGGCATTTTTCGTCTTGGCGCCTTCGGCGTAGAACCGCACAGCATTGATCCGCATGTCGTACATTCCATGCGAGATATCACGCCTAGTGACCTTGAAATTCATGCGCATGCCGTGCGTGTACACCCGCTGGATATCCCCGAGTATTTCATCCTTGACTTGGTACGCGACACGATTTATGGTCTGACTTGGCTGTCCGACACTGGCGACCAGGGTCTTGTTGTCTCCCACTAGTCGATTTTTAACGTCGAACAGCATGGCGTGGTTCGGGAATGTTGTTGGGGACGTCGCGAGGACCTCGCCGATCCTGTTGTATTGCTCCTCGAGTGCCTGGTAACGATGCGCCTGCTGCATGTTGTACAGCCAGAACAGCGTCGTTTCCACCACATCCTTGTACCTCTTTTGGAGGAATGCCCTCATGGCAGGGTGGAGAGCGCTCAGCACGTCGTATTCCTTGTCGTTTACCTGCTTCAGAGTGGCGTTTAATTGTTCTTGCTTTTGAATGTATTTGAAGAGCATCACAACTGCACAGTTGTACTCTACGACGTCCCTGTTTCTTTTCTCAACAATAGCTGTGCGGATGTTAGCCTGTTCTTGAGTTCCCAAATCCCAGAGAGCCCTAAGGGTGAGAGACATACTTTGAAGGGAGTCAAAGGCAGAGAGGGCGTCCTTGTACTTTTCGCCCAGCACGCTCCTGAATGCACCCAGCGCTTTTCTGAAATCTGATTCAAGCATGAGAAGCTTCTTGCCGCCTGGGTCGGACAGGGATAGGTTGCCGGTCTTTGAGATTACTTTATAGCCTTCGTTGATGTTCTTTAGGCCAGTCTTTCCGTCTTCGCCGCCTTGCACATCCTCGAGCTGCTGTATCAGGTAGCTCTTGTTAATCAAGAGGCCCGTCTCATCGCTTTTTATCTTTGAAACGCCTTGAGACCAAAGTCGAATCATCTGAAGGCCGAGGGTCGCTGCGCCGGTATAGGGCCCCATGGATGTAGCAAAAACAACCTCGCCGAGGCCGTTGACCAGTTCCTCGCCGCCGATGGAGAAGGCTTTCTTGATGGCCTCTTCTGCATCCTTCAACTTGCTCATCAGCGTTGCTTTGGCACTGGCGATGGTGACTGCCGCTGACTTGATATTATGACCTAGATCGACGACATTGCGCTTGGCCTCATCCTCAAGCCCCTTGCTGATTGTGATCGTCTCGCAGACCTTGTGCCGTTTCTCCAAGGTGTTTACCAGCGCCTTAGCGGCCTGCTCGTCGTAGTTCAGGTAGTTGGTGAGGGTTTCTTCCAGGTTCTTTAGCTGAGAGAGCACCTGGTCCATGTAGTCGCTGTAGAACGCAAACGTGCAGCGCGGGACCTCGTTGCGGCCCTTTCCGTAGAAGTTGTGGCCAGAGTAGATCTGCTGCTCAAGTGTCGCCGCCTCGGTGCGGATTGCCCGAAATTGCTGGATCGCGTGAGGCTCCTCGTACGTGGAGGCGTCTCCCGGCGTTTTCTTCTCGACGGTGAACAAGGAGCCGGCATTGTCTCTGTACGCTCTCCAGAGCAGCGGCTCCGAGGGGCGAGACTTGTCCGGCGCAAAGGGCTCCGCAAAAGGCTGCAGCCTACGCTGTAGACGCTGGAGGATGACCAAGCTGGACGCAACGGACTCGGCCGAGCCCAAGCAGAAGAGGAAGCTTGCCCGGTCAAGAAGCATCTGACACTGAACAGGGTGCGCAAAGCAGACATCGGTTTTGGTCTTATCCAAGGCTTTAATCCAATCAAGGTCGACTGTGCCAACGTTTCCGTGATGCACTTGGCCATCCGGCGCAGGAGTGCCGAGGCTGAGTCCGGGGTTCCCTCCGGAGACGTCAACCCCTCTTTGTACAGACGTGGCAATCTCGGTTGGCCTTCCATCCAGAATTTCGACAAGATTAGAAAGGCAGCGTCTATAAGTCAACATGGATCTCTTGGCAAGGTCATCAGGGCTCTTGATACCAGAGGCTATGTCGTCTCTCCACGGGATGAGCTCTGGGGAGTCGAGGATTTTGAAAAAGACGCGAAAGTCCTCGCTAAAGTCGTACGGGAACGTCCTCTTTTTGACATTAAGCAAAGTCCCCTTTGCCCTGCTGACCATTGCGCTGTGATCCTTGCCCGCATCATTTGCAAGGATGTCAATCAGGATCTGAATATAGGTCATGAAGTCTCCCTGTTTCAACTCGGCCACGTTTTGATGAGTCTTCACGTTGGAGGGTATCAGGTCCGGATTCTTGCCCTTACTTATTGCATAGGTTAGAATGTGAAGAAAGTCGTCGATTTCATCTCCAAAGTCCTGCGGCCAAGTTTTGTTGTCAATGTGACTGAGGAGCTCGTCCGCCTCGGTAGACCATGTGATTTTCGTCAAGGTAATGACGATGGTGGAAAGCAATGCCTCTATCTTTTCTTTGGAGCACCGAGCGATCGCCTCCTTTGAGTCCAACTTTCCCCGGTCTTTCTGGAGCCTGGCCATGACTGCCTTTGTCCGCAGCAGATTGAGAATCTTGGGTATCTCCTTGGTTTGGAAATCTTCCGGCCATGTCGCCGCGCCCCTGTGGAGCTTGTCGAGTATGTTGATTACCGCCTTGACGGTATCTGTAATATCGCTGCCGGTTCCGTAAAGTGAGACGCAGTCATAAACGATCTTGACTGAACCGCCGTCGCCTCCGTCGCCATTCGCGCCCAAAGCGCCGGCACCTTGCTTTGTGGTCGCCCCCTGCCCCCCGATGGCTTTAGATACAGTTAGAATTCGTGCATCTCAACCGGAAAAATGGCTCCCATACTAACCTTTTAAATGAAGTTTCTCAGCTGTCGCCTTGGGTAGCTCATCGAGATACAGTTCGACGGTCCCGCCCTGTTTTCCACTGGCTTCCTTCCTCTTATCGGCATCACTCCCAGTCTGCGAAATGGTTCCGGGAGCCCCAGGCAAAGAAATTCCCACCGCGGAAGTGGAAGAGCCATTGGGAACGGTCAGCTGGTAGGCGTAGAGGCCGAATAGTGATTCTTCTTTGCTGGTGATGTGCGCAGACTCCAGAACCTTGTCCAGGTTGTAGTACTCGACGTAGGCCCTGTAAGGTACCTTGACAGAGACGTGACTCTCGGACGACTGCAGAATAGACAGCTTCAACTGATGGTTGTCTCCTTCGGGGTACTCAATCGTATCGGGGTTTAATGGTCTATGAGTAGACGACATGGTGAAGTGTCGGGTAGAAGACGGCCAAAGAAAGTATGCCTGTGATTGTGGAAGATACCTGTTTGCTTCCGGGTGAGAGGATAAACCAAAGTAACATCAGACGGTTATAGGCGCGATCTAATGTGACCTTGTAGGCTTATAGATCCAGAACTCTTGGGAATATGGAATCATTTGCATCGGACCTCCTCCAACTCAGCAGGTGAGCTCATTGCACGATCTATATATATTGACTTCTCTAAGAGAGTACACGTCACTCGCCGAGCGTGCTAAATGCCGAAATAATTAACTCTGCTCTTTTCCGACTACGTGATAGTTCGTTCACATTATTAGACTTCCGTGATCTTCCTTGGTGTACAGCACCACATGCATGTACATGATCGAACCATGAGTGATCTCCATATCCATCAAAATGATATGGTGGAGGTCATCTTTGAATCCCAAGAGGCGTTGCTGCAGAACCGATTGGCTGAATGGGTCATGGGAGCCGAGATGTGCCAATCCTCAGAATCTTGATCTATCACTTTGCATTTCCGCTGCAGAGTAGCTGTTCAATGCCCATATGGTATGATGTCTCGCGCTTTGCCAATGAAAGCGAATGACCAGTTCTGGATAATCATCTCTGCATGGAGCTTCCCGAATCCCGGGTACGAACACGATGTTGTCAGTGCGTGGTCGAGAATGCAATGAAAGTGAACTTGAGCTGACGCCTTTACTTCGCTATTAATGGATTCTAGACAACTCTTATCCCCCCTGCCGAGCTTTCTCTTGTTTTCTAAGCTCATTGACGTCTCGTTTAAGTTTCTCGTACCGCTCCTCAAACTTTCTGTCGTTCTCCCCTCCCTCTTTGACAGCGTCTACCTCCCTTTGTTTCCTATTCTGCTCTTCCTTCAGCTTATCGAGTTCATCTTTGTAGGTATCCTTGATCTTTTGCACCCTCTTGGCTCTTTCTTCTGTGGGCAGATCTCTCGGTAGTTTGTCAATTTGCACCGCGATATCTCGTTGCCTCACGTTCCATTTGTTCTTCAAGTTATAGATCTCTTCCTTTATAGTAGGCACCTCCATACGCTTCACCTTGTTTTCCAACGCCAGGTTGATGACATGGCGGAGGTTGCTCTTGGCTGGGTCCTTGTCGACGGAGCCAAAGTCAAGGTCAAACTTGGCGCTGCAAGCGCTGTTGAAAGCCTCATCAAGCTCGACAGGGAAAACAAGGTTTCCTGCCCGAAAATCAGATTTCACCTGTGACCGAGTCTTGTTCTTCACTTCAATCTCATACTCCGTTTTGAGGTAGGCAGAGATGCTTTCCATCGTCCTTTCCCGCGAGTCCGAAGCAAGCTCATCCTCGGCGAGACCGTTGACCTTCTTTTGAAGTGGCTTTTTTGAGTACGTCAGGGTCTATCTCGGCCCGTCTGACAAGATTTGTGATCTGGCTCGATTCATTGCCGACGTATCTCTTCTCAATGGCTTCGGCAGTTGCTCCCATAATCTTCACACCAAAATATTTGTTCAAAACTGAGGAACAGCCCATCCCCATTACATACAGGGAGGTGGACCAGCATCCCTTACCGCGTCGGTGAGGTTTACCATCGGTGTTCTTGCCGTCGCCGCCACCGGCAGGGCCTGCGAATTCAATGGCTGGGTCAAACAACTCGTTGCTCTCCTTTTCCTGTAGACACATGAGATCAAACCCCACCGCAACCCAAGTGCTGGCGGCTTTGGCAACAGCTTTTTCAGCTGCCTTGACTCGGTCGGGGTCTGCATTATGGATGGGTGGGACGCTTGCAGCGAAGATTGGAACAGCTGGGCCGCCTACGTCTCCCCATGGGTAATACTTGACCCCAGACGTGTCAACGTTCTTGCCCGAGTGGGATATGACGCCCTTGAACGAGGGTACCACGTCTTTACCTTGCAGGGTCTCAAATGTGAACCGGACCTTTATTAGAGTGGCATCATCCACGACCAAGGTAAAGAAACCCTGGCCATCCGCGTGGTAGGGGGTGGAAGACGGCAACAGCCTCCCGTCAACTACACATCGCACGCCGGTTGTAAGATGGGCGTCCATGCAGAGCTGGAACATATGGATTCTTACCGTATATTGTCTTTGTTGCCGAGTTGACAAAGAGTTCGTAGAAGTGGAAGGGGTTCTTTTCGAATCTGTAGGTTCCACCCGCAAGAGAGAGGTTGAAGTCGGGTCCGGATGTCAGTTTGGTCAAGGCGCCCGCGTCGAGATCATAGCCTTGCGCTTTCACATATTTGACACCGGCATCTTCGTCGCTGCTGTGACGAATTGCACGGAAGAGGTTGACGAGGAGTGTCTGGTCTTGATCGGAGAATAACCGATTGACAAAGGCCCGTGCTGTTGTGCCCATCTTGTGATTAGATCGACGTCCACATAGTATTTTGGGTGGTATTCTCAACTGAGTGGTACCCACCGGTTTTGCTGTCAGGCGCAGTAGAAGCGGCCATGATGAGATGCAATGTCCTCGGGTCTTTTTACACAATCAGGACTAGATAAGCACAGGCAAGCGGCTCAACGCTCTGATGGGGGTGAAGTTGATGATTTATTGGCTGGAGCTGGAACCAACTGTCCCAGGAAAAGGATCTTTATATAACTAGATACCACTTCTCGTACAGGCGTCATTTTTCGTGTGGTATACTCAACCACAAAGGTCACCGACTCGGAGCAGCATCGGGCTTTGCCGGGCAAGGTCGGGCTCCGCAACTTTGATCGCCCTTTTTTACGGGCTGCATATGCATGGTTCAGTCAGGTCACGCCATGGATTTCCTTGAAAAAATCCAATGAAATCCAGCCAATGAGGTTGTTCAATCTCGAACGGGGTGGGCGAGGGTGCAGTCTACATTCCCCCGATTACTCCATATCCCCCCTTCTCCCATCGTGACACCTGGTAGGATAGCTTACAAGGCAAGCAACTATCTCTTGGAATGACCTAGAGCGTGATTACCTACGATGGCTAGTTGAGTCAATGCCTGAGAGGTTGGAGGCCATTGTCGCGGCAAATGGCTGGTACGTCAACTGCCGGACAGAGCTTCCGTTGCCTGTACCAGGCGACAGCGAGGACGGGAGTGGCCGAATGAAATCGAATGTAATCTGAGAGGACATGTAATGGCATGATGCTCAAACTTCGTAGGTGCAGTCTTGTGTAGAACAATGCAACTGCAGAAACCATCATCGTCAATATTCTCGCTATATAATTCCCATCTCCATTTCACCTACTCTCTCGCTCATCAACGTACCCACATTGATGACTTCTCAGCCTTCAAACTACCAGCAGACACTCTTAATACTCTGGATTGAACCTTATCCATCCCAATAGTTTCAAAGTTCAAGTTGTCGCTTCCATCGCCAACATGACTACAGCATCGCCAGAGAACCCCAAGGTGACTACAGCATCGAAAGAGGACCTTCACAAGGCTATGCAGGGCAACGACACCCTCGACGGATGGGATGTTCTTGTTTCCTACTCGGCAGACAAACTGAATACCTTTCTGCAAAAGGCATGGAACAACAAGCCAGCAGTGAACAGCTTCAGCATCCCGGTCAAGAACACGAGCCCACTGCACAGGTATACAACAATGTTTGATTTCAAGACAGCTAACCCTGTCTTGTCTTTTGATGACATTTCTGGAAGCGGCATCGCGGTGTTGAGCGTGCCTATTGTTGACGGCGATTTCTATGATCCGGCTGGGGAGAAGGATCAAGCGGGAAACATAATAAAGCAACCAATTGCAAAAAACAAATTCCGCATCGAGGGCCGGGTCCCGCTTGCAGCGATCAACAAACATGGAGCCAAGTTTGAGGTAGGACACAACCACACCCTCCCCATAATCATGCCTCTCTTTAGCCCAGCAGGGTCCAATACTAACGCACGAGTGCACCGCAGACGGAAGCGGCCATCAAGTTCGACGTCGGAGACAAGGATGCCAAGTACCACGTCGTGTTTCATTTTCAAAACATCGGCGCAACCTGGACGGTCAAGGGTAACACAGCAGCCGACGAGTCTGGTGAAGACTGGGGGGCGCTTACCAGCACTAGCGATGGCCTGAAGAGCTTCTTCGCGAAGCTTCATCAGCAAGATCACATTGACCTCTCGATTGCTGAGGTTGTCAACAAAACTCATGACCGCTCGAGCGACCTGATGACTCCCAAGTCATTCGCCATTCGGAGCCAGCCTGGCGTGCTAAACGTCTTCATTCAAACCGTTGGCAGTGGGCGTGGTCCTGGATCCGACGCTGGACTCTTCAAGCTGCCCAACAATGACTACACCCCCGTCCCTACCGGTTATGGAGCCAGCGTCATCATCTCCCGGAACTTGATAAGAGACTTCCTCGTCACCCATGTCACAGATAAGATCGGCAAGCCGCATCTGAAGGACACGGATCCGGTCAAAGAGAAGAAAGGGGAAAGCGGCATAGATATTGAGGTCCGGTTCAAAGACAACATACTAGTCCCTATGCCGAAGTCAGAAACAATATCGTTGCTTGGCGAGGTCATCTACATCTACTACGATCAGAACGTCATCGACTTTGATACGCATCCCATCACATTAAGCATAACCGACGATCCCCTCACTCTCCAGGCCATGTACAGTTGGAAATGGGACGCAACTGGAGAATTATTCTACACCGTTAAAACAGTGAGCGAGTTGGGGAGGCTGATACCTACGAAGACGCCATACCGCTTTCAAATAAACAGTGTAAGTACCGAAACTACCCCCTAGTCTGATCCTGGTCGCCCGTGGAGCTACATGTGCTGATTGGCACGGTCCTTTCCACAGAGCAAGAGGAAATTCGCTTGGTTGGGCGATGATAGTATCCGCTACCTAGTGGACTTCAAGAAGGAAGATATGCCGAAGAGCGATGGTTTGAAAGTTCTGGGACACGAAATTCACATCAATACCGTCCTCAAGGAATACTCTATACCGAGCCCAGAGTTGGATTATTTCCGATCCACCAACATCTTCGCTCCCGGTTCTCATGTAATCGATGCAAAGACTTACATGTTTCCCGGCGATATGGTGGTGCTGGGTGATATTGCTACGTCTTGAAACGGCTAGAAGGATTGCGGAGAAGATCCTCGCCTCTGCGGGAAACAACACTGTCGAGGCGGCAGAAGCTGAGAAGGGATGGAGACCGTGCCAAAGGCAGCAACCAAGCGACTAGTCTCTGGAATGAGCAACGGAACGTATGAAATGGCATTGGGATGGGGTCATGGATGAAGATAGCATGGTATTCAGCGATCGATGGCGACAGATAGGAATTTTTTTTTTATTATTTCTGACGCGTAGGCTACAGTCTGTATAGTGCGCTTCAACGTGAAAATAAACTAGGCACCTGCTGACAGCGTGTAAGACTGATGAGATGTCATCTCCCCATGCTGATTTTTATCCTGATGCCTACTTAGGCAACATCTGCCAGCTCATTACTAAATCCTGTATCACACCTGAATAATGAGAAGCAGTTTTCGTCAAGTTTCAACCCGATTGTCCCTTAATTATGCATTTACTCATTCTAGGCGGAACGCACTACGTTGGGCGCCTTGTCGCAGAACAGGCTTTGGCCCGCGGCCACCAAGTCACTGTTTTCAATCGTGGCAACAAGCCAGCACCGGCCGGAGCACGAGTTTTAATCGGCGATCGTCTTGCCGAGAATAGCTACGCTGCTCTTGATGGTCTCACTTTCGATGCCGTCATCGACACTTGGGCCCTCGACACCTCTGCGGTGAAGCAGGCCATCGCAGCCCTCCAGGGTCGCATGGAGCACTACGCCTTTGTCTCTAGCATCAGTGTCTACGACCACAAGGCCGCGCCGGCCCCCTACGACGAGACGTCGCCCGTCCTCGACATGGACAGGACGCCAGTCCGGTACTGCAAGGACAAGCTCGGCTCGGAGCGCGAAGCGGCCGCGTCGGGTGTGCCGACGCTCATCGTCCGACCGGGGCTGATTGTCGGGCCCGGCGAGAGCACGCCCGGGAGGCTGCCCTGGTGGCTACGGAGGATGGAGCGCGGCGGTCCGACGTTGGCGCCGGGGCCGGAGGACCTGGCTCTGCAATTCATCGACGGGCGCGATCTGGCCGCATTTCTGCTCGACGGCGCAGAGCGCAAGCTGCACGGCATTTTTGACGCCGTCTCGAGCCCTGGTTATATTACGCTGGCAGGGCTCCTGGAGGCTGCCAACGATGCTGCGGGCGGCAGGGCCTCGCTGCACTGGGTGGACGGCGACGATGTGGCAAAGGCGATTGCTGGAAAGAGGATGGAAATACCAATGTGGTTTCCCAAGGGATATGCCTCTATATTCCAGAGTACCGGCAAAAAGGCAGCTGCAGCTGGATTGAAAATACGACCCTCTCTGGACACTATCAGAGATACGTGGGAATGGGTGAATAGAACGGGTTGGAAAATCGGAGATGGCCCTGCTGGTGTTCCTGAAGATGTCGAAGCTGCTATTCTTAGGCAGTGCGGCGCAGTGAGCAAAGAATAGTTTTTTAACTCAGATCCTTCATAAATGGCTAGTATTGTTTCTATGGATGGAACCACTCGTGATTCCCTAGTGAGAGATGTTGATCTGAAAGAAGCGAACCTTGGTCGCGGCGCTCTTCTAGTTGTAGTTGCCCGCCGTGAAGTAGCTCTTGGGTTCATTCATCTAGCTTGTGCTTATCCAGTTCTGAAAGCCCTGCTATTGATGCTGGCATTCCTCTCATAGCGAATCTCGTACGTGAAGCGCTCACCCTTGAGCAGATAATCAACACAGACCAAAGACGTGGAGAACACAGACCGAAGACATGGAGAACACAGACCAAAGACATGGAGAACACAGACCAAAGACATGGAGAACACAGACCAAAGACATGGAGACTAAACACAATACTTCTTGCTCGCTCATGAATTAGAGCCACATAGTCTGTCCCCAGATATATTTCGCTTATAAGCTGGAGGCGATAGTTGTGCGTGATGAGGTCGCCTTTCCAGAAACAAGAACTTGACCTTTTTCGGAGATTTTAACGGACTTGTTGTAACTCATAATATTGATTAATACAAGCCTACATTTTCATACTTTCATCAGCGCTACTTGCCTCACCTCTCATCGCTCTTGAACCCCAGATCAGAGGGGCGGCAACAGCTCCTGCCCCACCCCCACCAAAAGGCCAAAAATCACCGACTTCAATCCACACAACTTCGATTGCTGTTCCATCACCCACTTGACACGCATCCCACCCCAGAGCCGCCACAATGTCGCATCCAAGAATAGAAGAGGTGTCCGACAGCGACCCGGACATGGTCTCAGACCCTGAAGAGATTGACATTGACGAGTTTGACGATGCCGACATTATGCGCCGAGTCGAGCCCAAAGCCACCGCCGCCGCCGCCGCCCCCTCCCTCTCCAACGACGCCGCCTCGCAGCAGGCCCTGCAGCAGATGATGCTGGACCCCAGCAACACGCGCTCCGTCGCCGCCGACGAGCGCGCCTCGTACGCCGGCTACCAGAGCCTGTACCCGGTGTACTTTGACGCCTCGCGGACGCGCGCCCAGGGGCGGCGCGTGAGCGCCGCCCTCGCCGTGGCCAACCCGCTCGCGCGCGAAATCGCCAACGCCTGCTCGCGGCTGCGCCTGCAGACGGTGCTCGAGCCCGAGAAGACGCACCCCAAGGACTGGGCCAACCCGGGCCGCGTCAAGGTCGCCCTCCGCAAGCCCGCGGCGCAGCACACCATTGCCAACAAGCACCACCTCTTCGTCCTCGTCGCCCAGCACCTCCGCGAGAACCCCACGACGGAACGCTCCCCCGGCCTGCGCGTCCGCATGGGCGGCCAGATCCATCCCCCAGAGGACAAGCCGTACCCAAAGCCCGCCGCGCCCCGCGGCTGGAAGGTGAACGAGTACGTGCCGTACATGAGCGCCGCCATGACCGGCGGCGGCGTCTCGGAGAACATCTTCAAGGACATCATGAAGGAGATGCAGGGCGGCGGGGATCCCATGGCCGCCCTCATGGCGAGCCAGGCGGGCGGCGCCGGCGGCGCAGACGATGGTGCCAAGAAGAAAAAGGATAAGAAAAAGGGCAAGGCGTGAATGGAAACTGGCCGGGTTGCAGAAAGTAGAGGTCGGTTGGGGGTATGGTTGCTGAAATGATAAAAGGGGCAAACATTTATGTGGCTATTTTCATGCTCCGGATTGGAGCTGGATATATTCTGACCACAGTCAACCTCAGCGCAGACACATGGCATTCACTCTTGCTATAATATGCGAGACATGATGAACAAGAAGAACAAAATAAATTGTACATGATATAACGCCAAAAGGTTATCTATCTCCCATGTCCTTGGCTTGCCAATACTTGTGACCAACTCGATTCTCATCCGAACCGGGTTCCTCTATGAAAATATACAACCTCTAGGGTTCAATCTTATACAGCCGCGACTCTCGCGCTTTGCAACGCATCCCACTCTCGTGATCCCACAATCTGCACCCTGCTTCGAGTGCCAGACTTCAACAGTTTACCATCCGGTCCAGGGAGACGAATTTGCAGTCGTGCAGCTGGTTTAGAACGAGCGCCATCAGCGTTGGCGCGGACGGTGGGCAGCAGAAGTGACTCGCTCTTCCTCACCACTGAGTCTTGCCACGATTTCCAAGCGGCAAAGTCCTCGTTCTGCCTTGCTGCATGGTACTGTGGCGTCGTCTTGGATGACCGCCATGCGAGTCTGTCCTTCGGGATCGAGCCATAGTTGAATACACTAGCCGACGACGTCATCTTAACGAGTTCACTCAGCACGTCCTTGCCCTCAGCAATAACCAGAGCCTTACGTTGCTCGGAAGTACTAATGGGCTTCTTGAGCGGCTCGGCGAGCCAGTCGTAGTTTTGTTGCTCCGTGAGTCGAGCCCGACGGTTGTCCTCGCGCAAGTACCGCACTGCAGATTGTAAACTGTCAATGTCGTTCTTGAGCGCGTCCATCTCACGAGCTGTAGCCACGGCACGCTCCTGCCCGGCCTTGTTACCAGCAGCATCAGTACCATTTGCGTAAGCGCGGCTGTCGCTTGCAACTTTCTTCCACTTGTCGCGCTCCGATTCGAGCATCTTCAGCTCTCGGTCTTGCTTCTCAATATCATCCTTGAGACCGGTAGCCTGTTCGGTAGAGGCTTCTAGGTCCCGCCGCAGAGCGTTAATGCGTTCAACGTTGGCCTGCGCGTCACGCATGCGGGATTCCAGGGTCTCAATCTTGAGAGCGGCTGTTCCGAGATGCTCATCGCGTTGAGCAATAGTTCGGCGGGCTTCGCTGTGTTCTTCTTTGAGCCGTCTGAGCTCTTCCTCGGCATCAACAGGCACAGCCTTGAGCGCTTTGAGCTCCTGTGAACGCAGCTTCCACGGCGCAGGGCTGACGTCGAACTCGCGGGTCTGGCTGAGATCTGTAGCTAAACCAACGGCGTCTGACACCAGTGCCTGGAGATTGCGCAATTGCGAAAGATATTGGGAGAACATGTCGGATTCGCTGAAAGATGTGATCTCCAGTACAGCGGCGTGAATAGCATTCTGCACGTCGGAATGTGTGAATGGATCGGTGCGTCCCTCATCTTGCGTGAAGAGCGTATGGAGAGAGGTGCCAATCTTGCGAGACAAAATTGCGATGCCTTCACTGGCGGTTCGGCATGATTCAAACAAATCACGGCTCTCTGGCGCGAGAGAGAGCGATCTTGTCTTTAGGTCTTCCAAAGCGCGAACGGCTTTGCCGGCAATAACCTTGGTGCTTCGGGTCTGTGTGATGACAGTCTCGAATTTCTTGGCGAGTAGTTGCGTCATCTCTTCATCGGCACTCTCTACAGAGATGGCCCGCTCAACCATGATACGCGAGGCATTGAACGACGTGGCCGCAGATTCCAAATGGCTCTGAACAACAACAGCCTTCATGTGAGACTCGTCAGCTTGTCCGGATGCATCATCAGCGAGATGGACTTCGCCTAGATGGGACATCAACGCGATAGTTCGCTGCAATGCTTCAGCACATTGCTTCTCCTTCAATTCGTCCCTGCGAAGGCTGTCGATCCAGCCGTTGAGGGCACGCTCAACTGGCTCCACCTCGAGCAAAGCATTTCGGTATTTAGAAAACTGCGCCAAGGAGCAGTGGCTCATGTCGTTGAAGAATCGGTCGCACATTGTCGCAACCCAGGTCAGTTTATCTACCGCATCACAGCCAGCAAACAGATCGTCCTCATGGCCTGGCTGTGGTTGTCCGTTGAGCTTCTCTTTGATAAACCCACCAAGTAGATTAGACTTGAAAGCAAGTCTGCGGAAGCGGAGAAGCGCCAGAACCGAGTCTTGCTCTTCCTTATACGTTTCGGGGAGGAAAAGCTTGACAATCTCGAGATGTTGTTCTGCTTCTTGAGCCTCAAGGCGCCGCATCTCGAGATCAATGGTTTTGACTTGGGCCTTGGCAGCTGAGATCTGCAGTTTCATGTTAAGATCCATCATGGCGCGTGATCGGTCATTGAGTTTCTCCGATTCGCCCTCCGTGACAGCCTGCGAGGCTCGCATGTCGTCCAAATCTGTCTGCAAGTTTGTGACCAGCTCGCGGAACCTTGACAAGGTGTATTCCATGTCCTCGAAACTCTCTTCCTGCTGAGCGGATCGGCGAGCTTGCTCGGCAATGACACTGTCTCTGAAATCGAGCTCTTCCTGAAGCTCTTTCTCATTTTGCACATGATTTATTTCAAGTTCATCGTTGATCTCCTTCAAGCTCTCCAGGTCCTCAATTACAGCCTTGAGCTCTTCCATCTGCTCTGACAGGCTCATGTTTCGTTCGGTAAGATCTTCAATCATATCTTCGGCGCCAAGGGCAGTGTCCAGTTGCGAGCGGAGATCATCGACTGCTGCCTCAGACTGCTGCAGCTTTTCTTTTGTCTTTGCATGCTCTTCTTTGGTGCTGCCAAAGTCGCGCACATCTTCCTCGAGCACAGAGATTTGAGCTTTGAGGTCTTCTTCTTGCTCATGAGTAATATCTCGCAGCCGAATTAGGGCCTCTCGAAGGCGCTCATTCGTCCGCTCCATCTGCAACCAGTTTGCGCTTGTTTTCTCCTCTGGCGTCATACCTTTGTCATATTCGGCGTTTTCCTCGCGAAGAATCTCAACTTCCAGTTCAAGCTCTTCCACCTTTTGCTGCACAGCTTCTAGCTCAACCTTTGATACCTCATAATTCTCCTCCGCCATTTCTCGATCAAGAGTTGCCAGTTCTAGAGCGGCGTCATGATCGGCCTGAAGGGCTTCCACAGAGTCAAATCTCGCCTCGGCTTCTTTTAATAGCTTTCGGAGTTCTATCAACTCTTGTTGTTGTGGTTGGTACTTTGCTTGCAGTTTCTGGATGATGTCGGAGAACTTGTCTCGTTCAGTTTGGACCTTGTCCAGCTGTTTCAGCTTATCGCGGTCTTCCTGGCGTTTTCGTTCCAAAACTTTCAGCTTTGCCTTCAAGTCTTCGATCTCTTTGTTCAAAAGACCACCAGAGACTGACCGAGACATGCCTGGCTGAGGAGTTTGCTTTTGCGCTGCTGAGGACGCCGCAGCCATCTTCTCCAGGTTATTTGTTTTGGCCATTACGGGGCTCTTTGGCTGGGGCGACAATATTTCGGCATCGCTTTTGTTAGGTGAGTTCGGGGCAGTCCCGCCGCTCCGTGACCCCGTGTTGCTGTCATAGCCAGCTTGCGAGTCTGCTGAAGGGCGTCGAGCCGAGTCTGGACGTCGCAGGCTAGGGAGGACTGGCGTTCTGCCGCTTGCTGAACGGGTGTGTGATATGCTACCTCGTGAGGCTACAGAAGACACCGAAGCCTGCCTCGTGGTTCGTGGTGGAGGGGCTGCGGGAGGTCCCATAGAGGTTCGTTGGGGAGGGGCAGAGGGACGAGTTCGCGTTCCAGCTGATGCAACTCTTGCGTTCGAAGGTGTTCCGGTTCGCGAAGCTGTGGCACTAGATGCCGCACTCAAAGTTTTTGTCGGAGATTTACTGGGAGACTGCATGCAAGTCAGCACGGGGGTCGCTTTGGATATAGATTGAACCTACAGCAGAGCCCGGAAGCCTTCCAATACTGGCAGGACGGGTTCTAGAAACCGGGCTCGGGCTCGGGGCATTAAGGCTTTTTCGTCTATTCAGGGTGGCATCATTGCCAATCGAGACACGGGCGGCGGCCGGGTTGATGAAGCTGCTTGGCCGGGCGACTTTCTTGACTCCCGGCTTCACGGCAGCAGGGGGCTGAGCAATGATGGTGGCCATCATGGGTTTGACAAACATGCCATAGCCCAATGGGCAGTCAAAATAGCGCTGTCCCTGGACACTGCCATCGTTTTTGCCGCTCTTGTCGTCAAGCTCGACCCCTATCCATTCGCCCACCTGGAAGTTGGTCTGGCCAGCGAAGCGCACAGTAGCTCTGCGGCCATCGTTTAGCTGCACAATTTGGCCTGGCTTGAAATCAGGCATTATGAAAATTCGGTGGATAGTAAGCGCATCGTTGCGCCAGCGCGTGTGGTATTATTTATGGTGCGGATGTTGTGTTGACAACAGACGCCAGGTTAACAGCAATATGGCACGTGGATTTAATGAAGCTCCCCGAAGTCCCCTTTACCAGTGGTTACTTGCCTAGTTACAGGCTTAATAACTTAGTGCAGCCACTGCACCAACGCGTCTACCGCCAATCCGCCACCAGTCAACGCGCTCCACACATTGTCCCACATTGTCAGGTACACGTTGGCTGCCTTACGTCCAAGGCAGCCAAGCGTCTTGGATGCCACACCTTGCAAGCCACACCAACCACAGACATAGGAGAGACATATTGCAAGACACTGAAAGCTAATATCCCCAGGCTCGCCATGGTTCATTCCAAAAATGGGCATTGCGCCTTTGTTTATTACTCCATTTGTTCGCCAAATCGGTGACACATGACACGAGCTCAGATACGTGTCTACACACCGAACATGCCATGCAACCGTACTGCGCCATAGCCCGCCAGCTTCCCATAGCCAAAATGTCAAACCGCAAACCCCAAAACGCCTCCTCCTTATCATGAACCAATATCAATCATCCCTCCGGCTCGGAGGTCTGATGTTTCGAAATCCACCATCCCTCATCCATTCGACCAGTTCAAAAGCCATCCGGCGCTCGGTCGCTTCATCAATATTCGTGCCGCTTGGGATTCTTACCACAATGAGGTTCATATGCTTTGCAATCTCCACGGCTCCAAACTTGTTGATTTCGTCTTCGTCACTAGGCTGCGCAAATATGACCAAATCAGCATTAGGTATCCCACGCCACATATTCGCCATCCATTGCCAGTGCTCGTCTGGCAAGTATTGGTCGCAATTGGGTATGCTCGAAGCAAATTTGTCTGAAAGCGTTAGGCTATATCCTTCCTTCATAAGAGCTACCGGCATATTGAAGGATGATAGTGCTGCCTTTTCGGACGCGGCTGGTGCCTCTGGCCGCGAAAGAACGCCTGCGCCCCTGCTTCTAGTTTGGCGGATATCCGTCGCCGAAACGCCACCTCTCCTGGGCATGACATGAGCAGCTATCTGCCTAGACTTCTCTTGCCAAGAGAGGATCGTATGCAAGTATGCAGAAAATCCGACATCCGATGGTATGGGTTGCGGTCTGCCTGTTTCGATCGTTTCCGGATCTGGTACCCAGGTGCGAAGTGACACTTCGCTGCAGGCAAGCAGCGCCTTTTCAACCGCTTGTCCAACACTGCGGAGAATTCGAGGGCTTGGTCCCTCGACGGCAATGACAGCACCTCTTGGCTCGACTGTCGATCGATCTTGCTCGCCTAAATGAACAGGAAGAGGTCTGGAAATCCTCGACAATGCTTCGAGTTTGCGCTTGAAAGGAACCAATACCGCTTCTTCCTCTGCGCTGCTAGGTCGCCTTTCTTGAGGAGCAGCCAGGGAAAACATTGGTGCCGGTAGTATCGGCTGTCGCATATCTATCTGCGCGCGGACGGGTGATGGCGAAACAGCTGTTTGCAGTGGTGGCAGCCTCAGCGACTCATCGAAGACACTGTGACGTCGAACGGGTTCTTGTTCTGTCCAGGGAGGTCCTCCAGGCGGGCGTGGCGGCGGCGGCATTGGCCCGCTATGTGACCGAGGAATTGTGCTGAGCTCGGGGAGAGAGGCGTGAGAGTATGGACGCATTGGTTGGTAGGGACCAGTCTCGGGAGATGTGCGCATTGGGTCGGTTGGCACCTCGCTAAACGTTCCATGCAGACGGCCCACGGCGTGGTAGTTGCCTGCCGCATTAGCTCGACGACGCTTCGCATCAGGTGAGGCCGAGTCATCTTCGTACCCTCTCACTGGAGGAAGTTGATGATGTGGGAGTGGGAGCGTGCTGACGGGCGATAATTCCATACTCGACCTCCTAGACGCCGAAGTATCTATGCTGGGCAGGGTGGGCTGGCCATGAGGGCCGATTTTGGCAGATGGGGGTGTTGCGACTGGCGTTGAAGGTGTTCTTGGTGTGGCGGTGGTCCGTCCATTGCATTTCATGCAACGACCAGACTCTTCTCCAGACGGTGGATTTGGCCAATTGCCTTGAGATTTGCTGCCCCTTCTAGGCTGGTATCTGTAGTTTGGGTATTGGTGCTGATGTCGCTGCTTCTCTTCTTCAGCCAGCTTCTTCCAGCTTTCCTTGATGTTTTCGATCTCATGTTTCCATTTCTCGCCAATGATTTTGGAAATTTCCGGGTTTGATAACTTGGGGTTATCGGCTGTCACTTGCGACTGGTGATGCTGCCGATAGAGGATGAATGCTACATTGCATGGTCAGTCTGGGAATGAAGATAAGATGTGATATGAAAAACACACCGTTACGAGGGCGGGGTATTTTTGGTGTTGGTGTGCAGAGACATATGGCTTCCCTGGAAGATTCTGGCTTCATAGCCGTACCGGATGTGCTGATGCTCAGTTGCTCATACAAGCCATGTGTTTGGTCAGCAGAGTTCAGGGAAGCTGCCCGTTTTCTGGTCAAGCTGGAGCTACCAGGGCTTGGTGACCGTCGAGGTGCAAATACACCTTGCGGCCCGCCTACCATTACAGCCCTGTCAAGATCCATGAGCAAATGTGGCACCGTGTCATGTATGGGTCTGGGTGCAAAGGACAAGACTTGGGTCATATTTGAATCTCAGCAGAATGGCGCTCCGCTGATGCTCAAAGAACAGCGGGGATGATGCGGCCCGGTACGACGGCCAGCCGAAAGGCGGACGATGCCAGATGGCGTCGAAACTTGGGCAGATCTGGCGGCCGAAAGTCTATGATGTAGAACTGGGCTGCCGGAGAAGACTGTGCTTGTTTGGGGTTGCGGGGGCTGGAGGGAAATATTTGGAGCGGTCGGCGAAAGCTGTTGGATAGGTGCTAGCGAGACAAACATGCGGGTGCACCAGGCCAATCCGTCGCGAGCCTGTCAGCACGATACCGAGAATGATGTTTGAAAACGAGTGCGGTTATTCGAGAGGTGAGCTGCTGATTGTCGGGGCCGCTCAAGCAGAGGCGATTATTGGTGGGCGGTTGAGGCGACCGGGGTGAGGGAGGCTGGAAGTCAACGCGGAAGCGAACGTCTCTTTGTTCAGTTCAGCCTATGTTTGCGCTACACCCCTGCGTCGGCAAAATGCGCCAAGGGTAAGGATCGGAGGGGCCAAAAGTTGGTATAAGCTCCAGGCAGAGGACGGCCAGTTTGCCAGGAAGAAGCCGGCTTCTGCAAGAGGGTGGGAGCTTTGTGAAGGCGAGGCAGTGCTCTTTGGCCGGTCTAGACAAGGCGACAGCAAGGCTGACGGGCCAAGAAACCGGGCAAAATGGGCTGGAAGCGAATGGACGAGAAAAAAGGGACAGGAAAGGAAACGACTATGCTGCTGATCCGGCAGGCAGCGATCAGTTGGAACTGCGAATCGAGAATGGGTGGGTATACACGATGGGGAGGGGAAAAGAACAAAAGCATTCACGGACAAAGGTGACGCAAGAAACACAAGGCACCATGGTATTATATCATCCAAGAAGGAAAGAAGAGGGTAGGTTCAGGTCGTGTTCCAGCTAAGCTTACCGGGGGCCAGCATACCCATTCTTGCTCTCAACTCCGCCAAGGTGCCTTTGCCTGGCTGGGCAAGCTCTTGTTGCCCGAGAGTATGGAGAAGACTAGACGGGGAAATAACGGTGTCCAAGACAGCACTACGGAGTACTCGCTCGTCCTCTCTCTTGTCAGTCATCGGCCCCCAGTTCCTAGCACAACGGTGAGACTTGCTTGTCTCTTACAGACAATTCTTCGCTCAAAACACTCCCCCCCCCCCCCTCCCTCAAAACCTAGCCTTTCCCGTCTAAAAGGCAAGCCCCCCCAGCCTCGCCAAAGGACGACAATGTGGGCGGCTTCAGGAATGTGCTGCGTGAGACCCTCTGGAATGCGCGGCCCTGAGACACACAAAAAAAACGAAAAGCCTCACCCCCAAGCAAAGTGCCAGGCCCACAGCCCGCCACCCCCGTGTATTGTGTGTCGCCCCGATTCTTTCTTGACTGTTTTAAGACGAGAAAGAAAGATAATAAAAAAAGTCTACTCACACGTGATGCGGACAGAAGGTTTGCTGCTCTGCTGGTCTTGCTTTTCCCAATGGTTCGGCGGGTAAAGCTTTGCAGTCTTGCCGGGGAAGGAAGGATGGGGTGTGGACCGGGCCGGATGCGGTAACCTTTTGTCCTGATCCGGAGAGCCTTTGTTTCCACTACGCCTTCGATGATGGAAACAAAGATGAAATAGTTAGAAAAAAAAGTCAAAGACGAACGACAGGCCGACTGCAATAGGGAAAAGAAATGGGGGCGTGTGAGGGATAGACAGGAAAGACAGTGGGCGCGGCAAGGTCCGGAAGCTTAGGGGAGGGATAATCGCTGGTCCCGTCGAAACCTGAGAGAGAGAAAGAGAGCTTCAACTCGTTCCAAAAAAGGTCAGTCTTGACTCACCCGTCCTGCTTGTTTTTTTTTTCGGGCTCTTTGGGCCCCCGGTCCGTTGAAGATGAAGAGCAGCGCAGATTGGAGAATGAACCGGGCGTTGGCTCCCTCCCCCCGTTGGGCTTAGCATCCGCGCGTAACTGGTAACTGGAGAAAAGACTGTCTGTTCTGTTTCTTTTTTTGCATTCGTGAAATACGGGTTTGGCATCATTTCTTTCCCCTTCTCCCCCCTTGTCCATGTCTAGAACAGCGTGTGGTGGCGGGGGGGGCGAATGGGCTGTTCATCCTGACTTTTTGCATCACACACACCAAGCGTCCCGTCTTCTCGTCTAGTGGTGCTGCGCTGTTTGCTGCGCTGCCGGCTCCTCCCTCCCCCCCCCCCCCTGCCAAAATGTGATTGATGAGATCGGGTCCCAGGCCAAGAGATTGCCGCGGTGGCCGCCCTCCCTCTCTCTCTCTCCCTTGAACAAAAAGAAGAGTGGGTCCGTCCTTTGTGTTGTCTTGACTTCTTGACGGAATCCTGCCGTAGTTAGCCTTGTTGCCTGTGCTTTTTATTCTTGGGCCTCAAACTCTGTCGTGCCATGTTATTTATAACCTTTCTTTTATTTTTATTTTTCCCTTCGCAACAATAGCCACTCCATGATGCAGAGCACACAAAGGGGGGGGGAGGCAAACCGGGGGAGCACGCGCTTTTTCCGCATACCTGTGTTAGCAGCTCCACGGACGGCCCCTGGTCGTCAAGAGTGACGCGCACCGTAAAAAAAAACACAACAACCAACCAACCCCTTGCAAGGGAAAAAAAATGCTTATTAATATTGCCTTGACAATTGAAAACGGCTTTTTTTGCTTTGTTTTCCTTCATCTTTTATTTTTGTCCTCCCATGCCGTGCCTTCTTCTTGCATTGGCAACCTTTCTTTTTCCGTCACCTAGTTTCAACTACGGCCCGTCATCGACATCGACGCTAAGCGACCAAAGGTTTCAACTGCAGGCCGTCTCTGCACCTCATTGTTTTAGCGTGCATGTGATCATGATTAACCGTTTTAATAAGAAACAGAATAACTAGATGGGCAGGTAAAATAGTACAGCGAACAAAAGTCCCGAGGGCAGTGTTATTCTCTCTTTTTTTTTTCCTCCAAGTACCAGGCGCCGTCCGACTAGGTAGTCTCTCATTTGAGCCGCCCCTCCCTTCCCGTCGCAAAAGCAATTTCCGCACCGTGCGGCTACCGTTCTCTCTTAATTGTCTGTCTCGTATTGCTCTCTCATCGCTTTCCAATTGGGTCCTGTAATGGAGATCCGCTTTCGACTATAACTTGTTTGTGTAACTCCCCAGCCGATGCCAGAACAAACATCGTCACTCTATCGAGTGAACTCGCCCTTGCTTCTTTTCTGTTTCTGATGGACCTGGAACAAACGTCCCGTTATCTGGTCTTAGTTTTCGTTCAACAAGGTCTGAACTCAAGACAGATACCCACGTCCTGCTTCGCTGCTAAGCAGCTTGGCACTACGGCGAGCATCCAAGAACAGGTCTTCGCACTCGGCCACATCTTGCACGTCAATTTGCGTGCGACCGTTGGCCTTTGCAAGAATGCTGTAGTTGCGTGCTTGGGTTAGCGACAATGTCTCGGATCCAGTCTTACTCAAGGTCAAGGCGGAGGGGCAACGGGGTAGACACGAGTCGGAGAAAAGGGGGGGGGTCGGACAGAGCTGGTGATAGGAGCAAGACGAGGGTGAAGCACAAGCCAGTGGGAGGCCGGTGAGCCCATCAAGAAAGGACAATTTGAAAAAGAGGGCATCGAGTAAAACGCGTAAAATGCGCGACACTCGGCTAGGTAAAAGGCAAGTAAGAAACACAGGAGAAGACACGTACCTAGCAGGAGTCAGGAGTTGCAAGCAGTATCTCAGACTGATGCTTACGCCATGCTCCGCGATCTTGTCGATGGCTGCATCGGTAATAAGTACAGCTTCGGTCGTTGCGCGTAGTTTCACGATACGCTTAATCTCATCAGCCTCGTAGGGTGCCGTCGGGATAATTAGCAAGCGGGCCAGGAAGTCGCTAGGAATGCCGTGCGCGGCAACAATGTCATCGGTGCCTCGGATCTTGCACATTCCACGGTTCGATGCCAGAACCACAATCGGCGCAATGGGCGATTCCAGGGCCCGGTTCAGATAGGTGAAGCATTCCACGTCGAGCATATGCGCCTGCCGCCCTATTTGTTAGCGTCGTGATCAAAAAGCGAGATCTCCGCCACAATCTTTTGTCTCGCCCCGTTCCTCTTTGTCGTCTTTCTCATCTTGACCATGGGGAAAATGTTTTGAAAGTGGACCCAGGAGGAGCGAGGTAACACATAAGGCTGGTTTGGTTGCGAGCGCGGAGAATAGTCATCCCAAGCGTTTGTGTTGTCTTACCTCATCGATAAACAAAACTCCGGGCACGAGCTCAGCAACACCCTGATCAATGTATTTGCTGACCACCTTGTTAATCTCCCCGCGTAGCTTCTCGGTGATCTCCGTCATCTTGGGCTTCATCAACTGCCCCATCATGCTCATGATGTCCTGTCCGCCTTGCGGTCTGGCGTTGGCGATGTCGAGATCGTGCAGCGTGACATCCTGGACAATCTCCTTCTTCTTGTGCACTTCGCCCTTGGGAAGGGGGACGTATTCCTCGGCCTCCAGATCGAATTCGGTCGCATACGCATCGGATCGGCCTACGCGCTTGCAGGCACCGGTGTTGGCTTCAATGTAGATGACGTCGCCGACGGTGACACGCTCTTTTTGGATGGCTTCGTAGATGCTGGGGTCCAGACGCAGCTTCTTTTGCCCTTTGGCACTTTTCAGGCCGATCAACAGCGTGCTAATCGTCTTGCCGTAGCCACCGAGCGGGTTCTCCGCCTCCTCGGGAGTGAGTTCTGTGACCTCGCCTTCGTACACTTCCTTTGTCTCGCGCACCTTGAGACCAATGGCTCGCCGAAAGTTCTCCATGAGCATCTCGGTCTTCTTGACTTCGGTCGAGTAGATTTCGCTTCCGACGATGGGGCAGAACGGGATCTTGGTACCCAGTTCTTGGCTGATGGCGAGCGCCAGCGCCGTCTTTCCGGTTCCGGGACCACCGGCGAGGAGAACGCCACGTCCAGCCATCTTATGAGCTCGAATTAGATCGACAACGACACCGCAGGACTATAAACATTGTGTTAGCTGACCCTTCCGACGCGACCAACAGAGTTGTAGAGGAACAAAAGGTCCTACCTCTCGGGCCTGTGTTTGGCCAATAAACCCACTGGCATATTTCTCCGCATGTCCGGTTGACTTCAGACCAAGGCCCTTGATGTGTGTATGCGCCGCCGTGCGGTTGTCGCGCTTATTGCCCTTAACTTCGCTGATCTGCACCATGTTGGCGGCGGCCTGACGAAGGCTGGAGACGTTGGGAAAATGGTGAATTCGCGGTACAGGCGTGAGTTCCGGTACAATTCGACGTTGAACCGCAAGAAAGGGCGTGATAGTGATGCCAATGGACGTTTGCAAAGCCTGGAAATGTTTGCGATCCGCCTTGCAGCTGCTAGGTGGTTGAAGCTTCTCGCGACGGCTGTGGAAACTAATGGCATCACGTGATGTGATGGCTCTGGCTACCCTAGACGACATAAACATTTATGTGCCTCAACACTGACGGGCGCAGTACATGGTTTTGGTTTTTCCCGGGTCTTCCGCCTGTCTGTGCTTCTTCTGGGTAAATGTTTATCTGTACTGTCCCAAATAATCGAGTTAGGTTTTGTCGTTGTCGAGACACTTTTGGCTGAACTTTAGTTGAGCTGTGCCTCGGAGGGAGGGTTCTGGAGCAACATCTTGCAACTTGGCTGACTGATCTGTACCACTCAACATGGGAAAGAAAAAGATTTACATGAACAGCGTTTTATGTACGTCTATATGACAATGCCTATCGTGACCGGTAAATATTTAGTTCCGTATTTGCCCCAGCGCCGCCGCCCTCCATGAGCATGGGTGCGTCCCGAGTCTCATCCAGTAAGTTATGTTGCGCCTCACTGTCCTCCACCTTTGCAATGGTTTTGGGTGCCTTCTTCAAAAACATGACTCCGATGGCGCTGCCTAGAATCAATGTGCATCCCAGGAAGCTGATGAATCCCTTCCTGTGACCAAATATCCACCAGTCAAAGCTCGCGGCAAACAACATGTGAGTGTATATCATAGAGTTGGCTCTGTTCGACTTATCCCTGCTAAGACCTGCAGTGAGCAGGAATTGCATACAAAGACCAAACATGCTGACCAAGATGATGAGGAAGACTTGTTTGATCGTGTATGAGAACTGCCACTGCAACGTAGGCTGTGAAATGTTCAGCGCTGGCGCTGTGCATAGTATGATTGTACACATAAGAGTGCTGATGACTGCAAAGGCGTTGACGGAGATGAGCGGATGAGTCTTCTTGCCAATAGCTCGGAGAGTTGTAAAAGCCCCGGCCGCGCCAAAAACACCCAGGAGCGCAATAGCGACAGCAATGAGGCGCTCCTTTGCGGTGGCTTCATGGTCCATGCCCGGAAGAGCCCCGGTCTCGGGTGTCTCCTCGCCGGGGGGTTTGCCAGAGTCGACAAACAAGGTGACAGGCTGCGCAATGAGAACGACGCCAAAGAAGGCAATCAGCGTAGCGAGCTGCTCCATCCTAGTAAATGGTTCGCGGAGTGCGAAGTAGCATATTATGCCGGCAACGCCTGGGGCCAGGAATGTGATGACTGTGGCGTCGGCGAGGGGCAGATACATCATTGAGTACCACATGCCAAATATTCCAAAGAAGCCCGAGAATGCGCGGACGAATAGTAACAAGCGAATTCCCTTGTGTGGAACGGGGAAGTCAGCAAAGCCGGCCCTCCACATATAGATTGAGCAACCAACAGCACTCAGACCTTGTCTGTAAAACAAGAGCTGGACCGGGTGCATGCCGTCGCCTTCCAGCTCCATAAACCTGGCGCTGAGGTTCATAAGGGCGCCAAACAACTGAGCCAAAGCAACGCATATGGAAGGCAGATTATTATGCCAGAATGTTTGAATGAGTGATGGTGGTTGTGTGAACTCGGGTTGGCCGCCGGGACCATTGTACATGCCGGCATGCGGGAGCGGTGACAATCGACCGCTCAGAACCGGACTTGGAGTTAGTGCTCGAATCGCTTCCGGCACAAAACCATCAGACTTTAGGCCGAGTATATTTGGCGACAACCCATTGTGCCCATCGGCTGTCGATTCCGTCGTTGTGCTGTCGAGTTTCGGTTTGCCGTGGGAAGTAAGCTCCACCTCGGCGATGGTGCCGGCACCGTTAGACATGATGTTTGGACGTTGTAGGCGGGATTTTGCGAGCTGAAGTAGCCAATACCGCCAGATTTTCCCACGAGTATAGTCGCTGGCCAAATCTCAGTGATAATCGCTTAAGCCCTTCAGTTGCCGAGCGAGTAGCCATTGCAGCAGCGTCTTCTCAGAGAAGAGAAAGAAGGGAAGAAAGAGAGTCAGCGTCCCCGACCATCAGCGAACCGGCAATGGACCAAGAGTTTCCAGGCCAGTGGCGGGCAGTGGCCGTGCCAGTGGAGCCGGACTGGACGGACATCCTGTGGCGGCGATGCTTGGCTATGGTTGCATATGAGGAGGATATGGTGGAACCGCTTGGGCGCAACGACAAGGAACACAACTAGCGAGAAGCCTAATGGCGTGGGGGGCAGCGAAGGAGGCTGTGCGGCCACGGCGGCCTATGCCCAGTGGTGTTATTGGATTAGGCAGTTGGCAATGCTGGTCGCCCGATATCGCAGGTTGTAGGTTAAATGGATAATATGGTTGTCGCTGGTTTCTTGGCGAACCTGGAGTCGGCTTCTCTTGCGGAGTATGTCCGCGCGGGGAGATATCGAACACTAATCCTACACTCGAATGAACGACACAGCAGCTGAAACTTTAAACCAACTTTTGAGCCAACACTCGCATCTTCCTTTCTGGTCTTAACACGAGAGAATTCCTGGTGGTGTGTTGCTGTTCGATAATAGACTCAATACAGTGAGGGTTTATCAACTACAACGCCAACACCTAGTAAAGACATATGCAACGGCTGGTGTTAGTTGCTAAATACAAGTAGAGTAAAAGCTAATCATGTCTAATATTTTCAACTTCCAACAGCTGCACTCGTAGCCTTGCATCCCAATGAAAAATATAACTCCACATCCATGCAAGTATAAAACCAAACTGTAAAGGCAACCTATACGCCAACGGTTTGTGCTTCCCGAAAGTCAAATCATTATCATCTGCCGTTTTCATATTCGAACCGCAGGCGGGGTATCATTTCTTCCTGCCCAGCGCATCCGCCTCGGCATCGGCATCGTCGTCGGCTTCGCCCAGCTCCTCCTCCTTGTTGGCCGGCCGGCCGTTGGCCGCAGATGGGCCGCCGTCCACCTTTTCGCGCTTCTTCTCCTCCTCTACCGCGTCCTTCATGATGTCGTCCTCGGCGTCGCGCAGAATCTCGCGCGCCTTTTTAATCTCCCGCTGCTTCTCAAACACCTCCTGCACCTTGCCGAGAAAGGCCGGGTTCTTGCGAAACGCAAACTCAAAGTCCTCGTACTTGATCTTCTGCCGGCCCGAGTACTGCGCGGCGCGGGCCGCCTCAAAGGCAATGGACTGCATAAAGTCTGTGAGGATCTCGTCGAGCACGCGCACGGTTTCGGGGAGGGGGTTCTTGACGTCGCCGTGAGCGTAGAGCAGCTGGGCAACTGCGGGCGGTTGTTAGCACTTTTGACGCGAGGGGAGATCGTAAAAGACTGCGAAGGGACAGAGGCAGCATACGCTCGTTGTGGGAAAAGTTCATTTTGCCGACATTTTTGCCGGCACGCGCTCGAGGTTCCATCTTGACGCAGTTTGGAGGCGCGGCGACAGCCACGCACCTGAGACAATGGGGGCTTTCGAAGATGAGAATGGAAAAGAGGCAGAGGCTTCGTGATTTATTCCTGGGTTTTGTACAAGGTTGAGATTGATGAACTTGCGACGGGAGGATTGGCTCGAAAGTTGGCTTGAATGAAGCTGGGTGGGGCCCAACTCGCTGCTGTTGACGTATGGTTGGTCGGGCGCGGCGAATCTTTGGTCCCCTAGAGCTACGTAGCTCCAGCAGAGGCCAGCGCATCTCCAACTTGGAGCTTTGCATTGCCGTCACGACCTTGCCTACGACCCAAACCGCACTCATCACACAGGTGCTGCCGCTCTAAACCAAACAACATGGTATGCCGACCTCACAAATTCTGTGCGCGGTCCTGTCTCCTAACATCCTCTCCAGTCTGCGCTTTTCAACTTCCAGTCCCTCCTCCTCGTCATCCTGCTGCTCATCTGCACGAGTACATACGTCCACCACTTTACGCCAGGCATTCTCGATAGAAATAAGAATGGGTAAGGATGAACCCGAGTTTGCGAAAGCACCAAACGTGCTGCGATGGCAAAGCTAACCGAATGGCCAGCGTCACGGGCGTCTTTTGGAAATGCGCGAGGATAGGCGAGCGACTGAGTCCGTACATAAGCATCTGCTGTGTTGTCATGGCTGTCCGTTGATCCATCTTCTTAGTCCTGCTAGATGGCGCGCTAATTTCGAAACAGGTTTCCCTCTTCTTCGGATAAGCATCAAATACGCGACAACTTTCTGTACTTGTTTTGGGCGTTCGAGGGGCGGATACATGACTACTTACGAAGCTTTCGATATACATAATGGCGGGCGATTCTCGTCGCAAGCAACACACAAGAGGCTTAGACAGGAAATTCAGATGTAAACGTTTACATGGGTGCCATTCATGTGCTGCCCGCTGAGCCAGAGGGCTGACGGGGCGTTATCTTACACCAGGCGATGAAGGACCTCTTTGCCTGCCAGCCACCGCTCCAAGTTCTCTGCCGTCTCCGCGTACCACCTGTTCATGAGACCATCATCTACATAACCCATGTGAGGCGTGGTGAGCACCTTGGACCGACCCGCCACACCCCATTGCTCGATGCGCCAGGGGTGTCTTTCCGGGAGCGGCTCCTGCTCAAAGACATCCATGGCTATGCCACGAATCTGACCTTGATGCGCCGCGTTCAGCAGCGCATCCTGGTCAATCAGAGCGCCGCGCGAGGTGTTGACCAGCAGCGCGCTGGGCTTCATGAGGGCCAGTGCCTCTGCATTGACCAGTCCGCGGGATCGCTCGCTCAGAACATAGTGCAAGCTGACGACATCCGCAGTCCGAAACAGCTCCTCTTTACTGACCGCCCGAAAGGATCTTTCGCCGAATTCATTCTCCAGTGGCAGGCCAAGGCTGGCGGCAGCCTTGTCCGCCTTGTCCTGGTCCAGGTTGGCGCTCCAGCACACCACCTGCATACCGAAAGCCAACGCGCCGATTCTCGCCACAGCCACACCCAGTCGCCCGAGACCGACGACGCCGAGCGTTTTCCCCGCGAGGCCTGTCGCGAGGGCAGACTGCCAGCCGCCCGACTTGACCACGGCATCGTCAAAGGCCACATTTCTGGCGAGCGCGAGGATGAGCGCCCAGGTGTGCTGCGTCGTTGGGTGGCCGCCTCCCTGTTTAATATCGGTAGGAAGCGGCTTCCCCGCAGGTTCGGGCCTGTCGGTGCGGCCCTTTCCCGGAGCCGCAGCAACGGTGATGCCGAGCTCTTTGGCCGCTTCAAGGTCAAACGTCTCAAACTGGGTCCCGGTGCATAGCAGCAGCTTCAGGTTCGGTAAGCTGCGTAGTAACTCAGATGGAAAGGGTGTTCTTTCGCGCATTGCAGATATGATGTTGTACGGGCGAAGCTTCTCGGCAAGTGCGCTTTTCTCTTCCAGTGTGTTTTGGGGCACGTGCGACCTGAAGATGTCGATATTAATGTCGGCTGGGGCTATATGTGAGAAATGCGGTTGCGCCACAGAGAGGTAGTCGTCCAATATGACCATTGAAGGTACTGCAGAGTCAATTGTGCGACGTGTGTGTAATTGCCGTACATTGCGGGCAGCCTGTGCCATGGACTTTTGTACCAGTTTTGACGCCATTGAATATGTAGTTCGAGACTGTAAGCAACAGTAGAACGATAATGATGAACAATAATGATGAAGGGAATCGTCGTAAGGCAGTTGTTCAGACGCGAAGGGAATATAGACACAGATAAGATTACGGTTGGTATGCACAACGGTTCTAGGTAGGTACATAGGTAGTGGTTAAGAAGGGCCGAAAAGTGGATCAAATGAGGGTTTGTGCCAATCAGAGGTCCGCATGAAATAGGTGTTGCCACTGTAGAGGTCGCAGCAGCTTTAATCGCCTACTAACCCAGCATATCGGCCAATGAATCGGCTGTTTAGTCTTCGATGCTGCTACAAAATCCAATTGTCGCCCCAGTCTCAAAATTGAGCATGCTCCACTATCATACACATAGACATTATCTAAAAGTAAAAGCATTAAGCAAACAACGTCCGTACCACCTTAAATGGTGTACCAACTTCACGAGAGCAAAGGGCCAAACCTGGGGTACTTTAGGGACTCATCCCAGCGCGCCAAGGGATCGCCCATCAGCCGTCTTGGCGGAGAAGCTCCCGAACTCCAAGTGATACAGCGACTCCTCAGCGTCAAGTTATCTGGAGAGCCTCAATTACGGGCATGCTCAGCGGTTCTCAAAGGCACTAGACATACTCTCTCAGTCTCGACATAACCGTGTTCATCTCCACATTGGACAAAAGTGCTTGCATCACGCGCTTGCAGGTTCCAGCCTTTGCAGCGGTTTCACTAGTTAGTGGCATTCGCCTGGGAAGATGCACTATCCCAGCAAGCCACTGTGAACTGGGAGCACGGTAATAATAGCCCGGAAGAACCACCGGAGAGATGCCCGCCTAGTGAGGATAGCGAAGTCCGCCAGGTTTGTTAGTGGGGTGTGCTGGGGGTCGCGCCAGCTCGGTGACAGGAACAGGCGAACCCGTCTCGTAAGCTGCATGGGGTTCGCGTGGCTGGGAGAGGAAAAGAACGACAAGGACCGGACGAGCAGGAAATAACAGGAAATTCTGGAGTCTTGAAAAGTCGACATCAGACAAGGCGAGCAATCAACAGGAAGCAGAGCACGCACGTGGGTTCGTCGCCCATGTCTATATCCCCAGAATAGTTGGCATCTAATAATTGAATAAATACTTTATTCAATCCCCCACCGCCGCTGCCGCTTAGCCGGACCAGCCCGTCGCGTGGCTGGCTCGCTACCGAACTAGTCAATAAGGTCAGGACACATGCAATGGCACTTATTTGACATTGGCCGGCCAAAGTTTCTTCCTCGTCTTTGGCTTTCATAAAAGGGACTACGAAGCCGTTGCACATGCCCTGGGTGGCACGCGAGGATCCCCTCTCTCTCTTTCGCCTCAGCTGAAGCGTCGCGTGGTCAAGTATAACCTACGAGAAACAAGGCACGCCCCCATCCAAGATGTCTGACGCGCATATTTCGGAAAAGGTCGCGGTTGGGCCAGAGTCCCAAGATGGCCATGACAAGGAACCCGAGACCAGCCAGCTGGAGGTTGCTGCTGTGTCTAGCAAGAAGCAGTCGCTCTCTGATATTTTCACCATTGTGAGCTCCGACGCCTCTGCTATTACCAAAATAGGCCAAACCCCTCTTACTGACTGACATAGTTTTGCTCTGGATTTGCCCTCATTTCGGATGGATACCAGAACAACCTCATGACCATGACCAACGTCTTGTTCAAGAAGGAGTACGCCCACGAGTACACCTCCTCGGTCAGCACGCGCGTCTCCAACGCGCTCCTCGTGGGTGAAATCATCGGTCAAGTCGTTGTCGGCCTTACCTGCGACTATCTTGGCCGCAAAACTGCCATTATCGCGACAACCCTGATGATTGTCCTCGGAGGCATCATGGCAACGGCATCCCACGGCATCACCATTAATGGCATGTTCTGGATGCTGACCATTTCTCGTGGTATTGTTGGATTTGGCGCTGGTAACTTATACTCGAGCAAAACCTCAATAAATGTATAGACACTGATATGGAATAGGTGGTGAATACCCTGCGGCCAGTGCATCGGCTTCTGAAGCCGCCAACGAACACACCCTAAAACACCGTGGTCCAGTCTTCATCCTTGTCACCAACTTGCCGCTTTCTTTTGGCGGTCCTCTCGCTGTCTCTGTCTTCCTGATTGTGCTCTCTGCGGCTGGAGAGAACCACCTGTCGACCGTCTGGCGCGTCTGCTTCGGCATTGGCGTTCTCCTGCCCTTGACGGTCTTCTACTTCCGCCTCAAGATGCTCAACTCGAAGCTGTACCGTCGCGGTGCCATCAAGAAGAGGGTCCCATATAAGCTTGTCATTCAATACTACTGGAAAGCTTTGATTGGAACTTGCGGCGCCTGGTTCCTCTACGACTTCATTACCTTCCCCAATGGTGTCTTCTCTGGTACCATCATCTCCAGCGTCGTCAAGACGGGCAGTCTCCGCAGCACTGCAGAATGGCAGCTGCTCCTGGGATCTATTGCTCTGCCTGGTGTCTTTCTCGGCGCCTTCTTCTGCGACCGTCTCGGCCGCAAGAATGTCATGATGATTGGCTTCTCTGGCTATCTCATCTTTGGTCTCATCATCGGCCTCGCCTATGACAAGATTGTCAAAATCACGCCGCTCTTCATCATATTTTACGGTCTCATGCTCAGTTTTGGAAACTTTGGACCCGGCGACATGCTGGGCCTCATCTCTTCGGAAAGCTACGCCACCAGTGTCAGAGGAACCTGCTACGGCATCAGCGCCGCGGTTGGAAAGGCGGGTGCTGCCATTGGTACCGAAGCTTTCAAGCCTATCCAGGATCATCTCGGCAAGAAATGGACATTTATTATCGCTGCTATTTGCGGTGTGGCTGGTATTCTTGTCACCTTTTTCTTTGTCCCGAAGCTTACCGGCGACGACCTGGCCAAGCAAGACGAGAAGTTTAGAGCCTACCTGCTGGACAATGGATGGAATGGTGAGATGGGCGAGCAAGACTTGACTGCGCTCGCTGATGATGTCCGCGATATTGAGACTCCGTCCGAGGAAGGTGTTCATGATGAGAAAATCGCGCTGTAACAGAAGCACCGATACCGACATATGATTGCACCACATGATACCCGACACTGCAGGCATCTTGACATGCGTTGTAAGCGTGATTACATGTCTAGTTTAAACCACTGAATTTTCAGATCAGGAATATATCGTGTAAATTTGTTTCTTTTACTTTGGTATTGCCGCCTGCTGGCTATGAGGTACTTGGTCTCAGACTCTTGAAGCTTTTTGTTATGTTTGTAATAGCCTCTTCTACAGGCAATCGCTCCATGGAGCTGGCACCGTAGAAGCCATGCACGCCCTTGGTCCTGCCCAGCACGTAGGCAGCATCCTCCGGGGCCGCAATCGGCCCGCCATGGCAGAGCACCAGGATGTCTGGGCGGATAGCAATGGCCGCGTCCCGAATCTGCTGGATGAGCCTGACACTCTCGTCCAGCGTCTTGCCGGACGCGGCGCCAATGGAGCCGCTGGTCGTCAGACCCATGTGGGCGACGAGTATGTCGGCACCGGCTGTCGCCATCTTCTGCGCCTCGTCGACGTTGAAGACGTACGGCGTCGTGAGGAGATCCATTTCGTGGGCGGCGCGTATCATGTCCACCTCCAGGTCATACGACATGCCCGTCTCCTCCAGGTTGGCGCGGAACTGGCCGTCAATGAGGCCGACGGTGGGGAAGTTTTGCACGCCCGCGAAGCCGAGCTCCCGCAGCTGGTTCAGGAAGTGGTTGGTGTTGAGGAAGGGATCTGTGCCGCAGACGCCAGCAATCACAGGCGTATGGCTGACGACGGGGAGAACCTCCTTGGCCTGAAGATGTTGGCATCCGCATCATGCATGGCAGGGAGGCCGGGGAACTTTGTCATTGGATGATGAATCTTGCTTACCATGTCCAGGACAACATCGTTGGCGTTGCCGTACGGCATCAGCCCCGAGAGTGAGCCGCGACCGGCCATGCGGAAGCGGCCGCTGTTGTAAATAATGATTAAATCGCCGCCGCCAGCCTCGATGAACTTGGCCGAGAGACCAATGCCAGCGCCAGCGCCGACAATGGGCTTGCCTTGATCGATTTGCGCCCGCAGGTTGGCCAGGATCTCGCGTCGTTTCGTCGGAGGCGCCATGGTTGCAGGCTCACTGTGTTAGGAGGGTTAATATTCGAAAACTGTAGTTGAACAGCGACAGATGATTAAGAAAAAAATGCCTCTAATTCAAGTGAAGCAAGTGACGACGACTGATCAATGAGAACCGCTTCATAGAGGCGTAGCTCCACCGCCACTCTCCAGAGTGGAGTTGAGTCTCCGGACCGCCGCTACAAGCCTGCAACTAATAACGTTAGCGAGGATTTGGAGTTCTGGGCCATAAATCGTTCTGATACCTAGTTTGCTAGGTCTTGGGGACCTGTTGTGTTGACCAACCTATCGCAGGTGAGGGGTTGCTGCCAGTCGTCAGGGATGCAGCTGCTCACTCTTGATTCATCCTCAACATCGCTCTATCAACATTTGCGGGAAATTCTTTTTGCGTACAGGAACCATCAGATCCGCTCAAATCAACTCAGAACGTATCCGAGTGTGTGCAACCGAGCCGCATCGGAGGTTCAGTTACACAGCCAGTGCCATCGCTGCAGCGCCTGCTTTTCTTCAAGACCCAACGCCACCCGCAATATGCCAACAGTAGCAGTCATTGGAACTTGTGACACCAAGTTGGACGAATTACGCTTCTTGCGTGACCGAGTACAGGAATATGAATCGGTTGACGCCATTCTGATTGATGTTGGCTGGCGAGCGACGGAAAGCAGCGACATTACGATATCACAGCCGACACTCATCTCCAAGTATGGCAACGGCAAGGATGTGTCGACGCTGTCCCGGGCCCAATTCATCGAATTTATTTCTACGTGTGCAGCCAAGGCGGTCAAAGAGCTGTACGAAAGTCGGTCAATCGATGGAATCGTTTCAGCTGGTGGCTCCGGTGGCACCTCGCTCGTCTCGTCCATCATGAGGGACGTGCTGCCTATTGGTTTTCCAAAGCTGATTGTTTCGACGATTGCAAGTGGTGACACGCAGCCCATCATCGGCGAGACAGACATTGCACTCATGTACTCGGTTGTCGATATCGCAGGATTGAACGAAGTTTTGAAGATCATTTTGAGCAATGCCGGCGCATCCATCAGCGCAGCAGCTGTATCGAATTTCAAAAGGACAAACTCAGCGTCAGCCGCAGAGTCCAACGCATCGCGTGGGAAGAAGCGGGTTGGCATCACCATGTTTGGTGTCACAACGCCCGGTGTAGATGCGATTCGCTCCCATCTTGAAAGCAACTATCCGATCGAGACGTACGTCTTTCACGCCACGGGCCGCGGAGGCAAAGCCATGGAAAGACTGGTCAGGGAGGGCACACTGGATGCCGTCATTGACCTCACGACGACGGAGATTGCAGACTACATTGTCGGCGGCGTGATGCCGGCGAGCGAGGATCGTCTCGACGCCGCTGTCCAGAAAGGCATCCCCAACATCGTTTCTCTCGGCGCGACAGACATGATCAACTTTGGCGCGCGAAACACTGTCCCCGAAGCGCTCAAGAACCGCACCATTGTCGAGCACAACGCGCTGGTGACGCTTGTGCGCACATCGCCCGAGGAGTGCACCAAGATTGGTCGATTCATCGCCGACAAGCTGCGCAAGACCAAATTCCCGGGCAAAACGCAGGTTTGGATTCCAAAGGGAGGCGTCAGCATGCTCGCCGTCCCGGGGCAGCCCTTTGCCGACGCGGCTGCCGACACTGCGCTGTTTGATGCGGTGCGACAAGGGCTAAAGGATACAGGCATAGAGGTTAGAGAAGATGAGAGGGATGTGAATGACACGGACATGGCTCAAGAAATCGCGGTATCCTTAGCGAGAATGCTGGGCCTGGAGGAGTAATGGCAGCAAGCATAATTCACACGCAGCATGTCGTGTACCATGGCACTGCAGCATTGCATCTTAGGCGAACTACAAGATGGCCGGAACCGGGACCAACTGTTCTCAAATTTTAAGATATGAAGATAAAAATTCACCCGTTTCTTAATGAAATGTCCTGCCACCGACGGCGGTGATCCGGAGCTAACGGGAGGTGGGGCTTGCAAAGCTCTATAGTAGCTAATAAGTGCCCGCTTTTCAACAACTAGAAAACAAGCGTCGTTGGTCTAGGGGTTAGGATTCAACTCTTCCAAAGTTGAGGCACGGATTCGAGTTCCGTACGACGCACAGTTTGATTTCTTTTTTTGCCTTGTTGGCCCCCTGCCACTTACAGCACGACGTGGACATTTTCTCCCCTGCACGCGAGGTGCTTTTTTTTTTCTTCTTCGTTTTTGCCTTTGTAGCTACTTGTCATTTAATCATGACGCTCTTGGCTAGGTGTGTCAGAGTCATGACCGTGTGTGGCTGCCTTTACGAGTAATTGGATGGCGGCGCGCCAGAAACTCAGACAGCCACGCCGAGGCAACCTGCACGGCCGACGCCATAGCCAGCCACCAAAAAGAACAAGAAACGAGCAGAGCGACGGAAGCTTACAGCGAGATGCTAGGGGCGCGGGTTTGCCCTTTTGGGCCTCTTTGCCGAAATGGCAAGGGCCAAGCTTTCTCCAAGGGGGGGAACGCCGCAAAGAAGATAATAAAAGCCAACGTGGTATTGCGGCCGTATCCGGGGGGGCCAGGTGGTGTGTGGTTACAGAGTTTAGGGATCCGCCTGCTTTTTTTTGCAAAAGGGCAATCTCCATTTGTAACTAATAAAGTCAAGAGCTGCTCCGGACTTTTGCACCTTGGAGGCTCTTCTCGGTGTACCCGAACCGCTGGGCCAGTTGACTCGTCATAACCCACTCCCGCCGTCGCAACGGGCATCGACCAACCAGTAAAGGAACTGGTTGGTCGCTAAACTACTGGCCCGTCGGCCGCTAACTAGAGTGCTTCTCGGATCTGGGGGCGGCATCTTCCAAGGATCGTTCTATTTGTTCTCGGTCCGCCTTGGACGAAATTGAATGTAGGGTAGGCATAGGCAGTGAGCGTCATCTGTGATAGACCGGGAAAAAATGACCGGAATGCTCAGGTGGACGCTCTCCCGAGGATCCCTCGTGGAAATAAAAAGCTGCTTCATACGTTGACCGCCTTCCAGGCCAAGGGTTTCGAGTGAGAGAAGCGGCGGAAGTGAGGCACAGGGCTGAGAGGAAGGGTCAGATGTATGCAAACAGCTCCGTGTTCATTGAATGTATATTTTCGGTGCTATATATATAGATATATATATATCGTTTCACGCCACCCGCTTGCGGTGCAGATAGATGCAGAACCATTAGTTAGGGGCAATGGGTCTTGAGAGGACCACGCGGCGTCAAAACCTGCAGCTCCGGTATCAAGATGACGGTTACTCGGTGTTTGGTGTATTAATGCATCATCTGTTGACAAGGCCCAACTCCTTACATTGCACACCGCTGTCGTGTGACGCCGGCTGTTCCCTCCTTGCCGCCGCCCTTGGCCCACTGTGCCAGTCAGTTACAGACTTACTCCAACTGCATGAGGCCAAACCCGGCCCTGACAGGATATAATAAATAACTCAGTAATGACGGGCTCCGCAACCACCATCACATGGCTTCGATGTCAGTTTGCAAAATAAATCTTGCGACTGGCGGGTGATCTCGCAGGTTCCTCAATAACTACGGCTGTGGATCGTCTTCTGCCAAGACATTCTGGAAGAGGATACAAGGGCGGTTCGAGTTTCTGGAGACTGTTTTGCCGGGGGTCAGGGATAAAATGCGACTGAAAGCATGCTTTTACTGCAAAATGGCGAGACAAGTTGACCGACGTCGCGTGCATAAGTGACAAATTGACGGTAGACGTCGTACCAGCAGATTGTCAGTGATCGGGGGATCGCAACGTTGTCTCGGGAGAGGTAACCACTACAAGGGCACGTATCACGACACGCCGATGAGGGCAATAGAACCACGAGATGGTGTCGGCGTCCCGGCTACTGCTCCCCACGTTTCAATACAGGAAAGCATGCCAATTGGTGAAACGCCGCACACTGGGTACGTTCAGGGCGGCCAGTGGCGACAGCGCGGTATTGTTGCCTTTTACACATGTCATGAGCTGATGGACTTGGGGAGACAGCAAGACAAATAGGTAACGAGCCGTATTATTGTAAGCAAGGACCGGACACGTTATTATTGAGTACTCGAGTCTTCCCAACGCCACTAATAAGCGCCACATATTGGGGCCGGCGCAAGTTTCCAATCAAGTACACGACAGGTTGCCAGCAATATCGACCCTGCAGTCAGTTCGCTGAGCAGCATCACCTGAAATGCTTATATACGATATACGACCCCCCCTGGCTTTTTTTTCTTTCGCTCCAGCTGTCGTTCATATTCACGGTTTTGCTCTGCAGACCAGATGACCTGAAACTGACGTGCTTGCATACTGGAGCCCTCTTGTCAGGACGACTTGAATGAATGACTTGGGCTGGCAGGCAAGGGGTTCCCAGCAACATGAGCAAAACCAAGCCCCAGTTTCAACAAGGTTTTTTTTTCCCTTCCTCGGGAGCATCGCTTCCATCGCCCTTCTCGGCAACGATCATGATTGATGGTGCACATCAGAAACAGGGCAAGAGTCTTGGCGACCGTCTGGAATGCCAGTAGAACAACGACTGGGGGGCAGGGCAATACCACGCCAAGAGTGAACTTTGCTGCTCGTGACCATGGCGCTCATGGTGCTTACGGGTGATGGGGGGGTGAGAAACATTCGCGATCCATCATGTTTCTTCATCACCAAGTGGCAAATAGAATACGGGCCCGTCCCTACCCGCATGCCCCGTGGTCGTGGGCAACCTAGAGACGGGGCATCACGGCTTCCAACCGTCTCGTTGTTCTCGATGCCGCGGGCGTTGGGCCATTGTTCCCGCCGCCGCCAGCAACAAAGAGGTCTTTTTTTTGGTCCTACCATTACCGTCTTGGCGGGGTGGTTGTTGACAGTTTCTCAACGGTTGCTCTGGTTCTACTACGTGGTCCGAGCCGTACGGCAAAAAAGAACAACAACAAAAAGCATTGTTGTAATTTAACAAGATGAACCCCCAGCCGGCCACTAAAAAACAGCCGGCCCGAA